AATTGTCTAGATGCCTAAAAAAATTTTGTTTTTGATAAAGTACTAAAATCTAAGAGATTCACAATATTTTATACTGCTTATAAATACTCTTTTCTGATTCGTGTGCTTGACAAAATTGATCAACCTCACAAATGAACAACCTCCTCCTTCCTTCTGACTTGAAGTCCTTATAAAAAGTTAGTCTATTAATTTTACATTAATTGGATAGTCATTTTATTAGCATACAATTAAAATAAAAGAAGATTTGTAGTAAATTCTACTTATGTCCTAAACAATGAAGAAACATAATTTTTCACAAATAAATTCCGTCACTTAACAATACTAGGGTAGAATTAACCAACAAATTTCTAGCAACACAGCGCGTAATGTGTGAAATTTCCATAGATAAGGAGGAGAAACATAACTTTTGGTTAATGCAGCTCCGGTAACAAGCATACGCACTTTGACGGCTAAAGGACGCGAGTTACGACTTCAGCCAAAGGGTTGTCAGTTTCTAATGATAGTTCTATGTTAGGATATTTCTGATTTACTTTGATGTCGATTGAATAAGTGCGATTATCGAAATGAAAGATTACAATGCAATATTAACCAATTAAATATTAACTTTACACCGCATTTATGGAATTATTATTAGTTGTAACGCAACGCTGTCTGAATTGTATTTAAAATCCTAGAATATCACATGGAAATGTAATTACCATCTTATGCTTTCACTTCCTATCCGAGACATCCCTAAGAAACTCATAAGACGCGAAGGCGGTATGTCGTTTACACGAAACCGTCGTAACGTCACATGAATAGAGAACTTGACCTTGCTGACTTTGACACCAAAATGTGTACAGATCACACATACAGTACAGATTATACATACATATCTTTATGTAGTCTTCATTAAAGTTTGACAGCAAAAGCGACCATAGAAATTTTGGGATTTTTAAATAATTTTGTTATTTCTAATACTGTTCGTCATTCTGTAGTGCGTTCCCGGTCACCGTCCTCGTCGAACCCGCCGCTTGCGACGAAGGGCTCGGCGAGTAAATTAACCGTCAGACACAGCCCACTGAGTTTCTCGCCGGAACTTCTCAGTGGGTCGCGTTTCTGATCCGGTGGTAGATTATGCGAAGCACTGCTCTTACTAGGGCCAGTGTTAGCATCACTGCGGTTTGAGCCCCGTGAGCTCACCTACTAGTTAAGGTTACGCTTAAATAGCTTCTCAAGGCTATCAGCTTAGGTAAGAAAAAAAAAGTACGTTACACGTTGTACATTTTTTAAAAACATTGCACATTCAATCCTCATAGTTCAATATAACTTGCCACCATTAGGTAGGTACCTACCACCAGTAGGTACAAGTTCCCTCGTTTTAAAACTAAGCAGTAATTACCGGAGCCTTATTCTTATAGTTGATAGTGAAGCTAGTAGTACCTATAACGTTTTACTGAGATAGGTAACCTGCCCGTTAATGGCGATGTAATGCAAATTATATCGTCTTAAGAGACAATAGCGAATTAACATTGCTAATTATTATTTCATTGTCTCCGCTCGATAAATAAATTTTAAATGCTCCGGGTCATAAAAACGTAAAATTAGTGCTTTCGTGCGACACCATAAATCATATTAATTTATGTAAAAAAAAAAAAAGATTGTATTTAATTATTTCAGAAGAATGTGTATTTTACTTTTAGTAATCGAATGAATGACCTTTGAGCCTTTGTAACGTTGTTATTTAAAAAAAAAAGCATTGTGATGAAACCTGCAGATTTCACGAGCTTTATCGCTTTGCGCTTTATCATAGCACAGCAGGAACATCGTATTTGGTACTGGAGGAAATTGCTGCAGATTCCATGGACCGCCTTTCGCACCAATGTGTCGATACTAAGGGAGCTTAATGTTAAAACTAGACTCTCGACAATATGCATTCGTAGCGTATTGGAGTTCTTCGGACACATCTCGAAAGGAGGGTCACAATCTTGAGGAGTTGATGGTGACGGGCAAGGTAGAGAGCAAACGTCCCGGAGGACCCAGTCCCACGAGATGGTCTGACCAAATTCGGTCTTGTCTGGACATCAAGCTCCACGACGCTCTCAACGAGGCCAAGCCATGGAAAGCAATCGTACAAGAGAGATTGATGCAGCGAGGGAGTCACGACCCTCAGTAATGAAGAGAACGACGCAAGCAGGAAGGAGGAACAGTAACAATGCATCTGTATCCTAAAACAGCACCACCTCATGTCTTTTCGTCGATGTTATCAAACACGCCCAAGCGTGAACCAATAATGGATTACGAATTGAATGCTCGGAGAGTTGTTATTGAGATTGCAGCCACATGTTTTTTTATTTTTTTTTATTGCTTAAATGAATAGACAAGCTCACGGCCCACCTGGTGTTAAGTGGTTACTGGAACCCATAGACATCTACGACGTAAATGCGCCACCCACCTTGAGATATAAATTCTAAGATCTCAAGTATAGTTACAACGGCTGCCCCACCCTTCAAATAGAAACGCATTACTGCTTCACGGCAGAAATAGGCAGTGTCGTGGTACCTACCCGCGCGGACTCACAAGAGGTCCTACCACCAGTAATTACGCAAACTAAAATTTGCGCGTTTGATTTTTACACCATATTATTCCTTCACCGTGGAAGTCAATCCTGAACATTTGTTGAGTACGTATTTCATCAGAAAAAATAATTCATCAGAAAAGCCTGGGATTCGAACACCGGTGCATCGCTCAACACGAATGCACTAGAGGTGCTATCCTTTAGGCCACGACGTCTTTTTCAAATTGGTAGGCTCATTCACTTTATAAACTAGACTACGGAGACAATTTAATATACCAGCGGACCGTGAGTTAGAATGACAAACCAATGCAAAAAAAAATTTAACTAATTTCAATGAATACACTAGCATTCGTTTAATGATACATGTTTGTGTAAATAGCCTTCGTAATCGCCAGCTAAATAAGCACGTATTTCAGTAGCTTTCCACAAGTCGTCTCGCACCTCCCGCCACATCCAAGGGGCTATGTAAATTGTTTAACAAACGCTGCCGTTACGCCCTCAATGGCGCACTTAAAGCATTAACATTTAAAAGCCCTATTTTGTTACGAAATACGTTGTTACTCGTGCAGTTAAACTGATTAGAATGCGTTATTCAAACGAAAGAGATTACGTTCCGTTTATCGATCGATTTAAAGTAGTGATATTTTTTGACAAAAGTTTAAAGAAAAAAAACTTTTATTTCACCCATAAAAAACTAATACATTTTACATAACTTGTTTTTATTTTATTTATTTATTACTATTTTATTATTTTTATCTTTGAGTAGAATTGTTTTTAGTTTAAATTATCGTGAACCCCTCTGTTTGAGAGTAAAGGTCTCCTCCAGAGATGCGCAATAGTCTCTATCTGTGGCCTTTGCCATCCACAGTTTACCAGCCGTCCCTTCGATGTCGTCAGCCCATCTGCTTTTAGGTCTTTTTCTATTTCCCCGAGCCAAGCTTATAATAAACCCTTAAATACCTAAATTTGGATACGCAAATCTCGAACAAATTATTATCGCACATCCAACGATGCGGTAACTTTACGATTGAAGGAGCTAAATACGATTAATGTGCCCACATATTCGTATTTTAACGTTTATATCCGTCGTACCGAAGAACGGCAAATAAAATTAGAAGTCTCGTTTGGCGTTGATTTTTTTTTTTGTGCGTAAAATCCGCTCGTTTTCACACGCCGCGCCGTTTTCATGCTAATCTCGGTGCTGATTTAGCGAGCATGAAATATTTGTAAGCATACGGGCCCGGCCTCGGTACCTTTTCAATTCCGCGCCTCTTCTCCCTCAACGGGGAAATGAAAATGCCGAACTTTTGATACTGCGTGCACGTAGTATCCACAATGTGATTTATCCCGGCATTGCATTTTATTCATCCGCTGTACGGTTTTTGTGCGCGAAAACTAGCGCCGAAAAATGTTTTTGTTGGCGCGCTTTTTAACGTCAATTTTTTTTTTTTTTCGCGACACACATTTACGTTTCGCCCGAAAGATTTATCGGATATTCGTGTACGCACAGAAACGAAAATGCTTTACGGTCGACCGTGGTGGACTGGTAAGTCATAAATTGGCAGTTAACTCCAGCGAAGTTCCGGATCGCGGACTACATATTTCAGGATCATACGAAGAGAGAGGAATATTTGACGGTTGGCAGTTCGCCCCGAAAAATGTACGGTGTGTTTGTTGTCTCGAACAATGACGGCCCATGCTAATACGTGAGCCGCGTATGCGAACGGGTCCATTGCCTTTCATGCGAATACTTAATGCTTCTTCGGTACAAAGGAAGCGTACTTCCGTGCTTTTGCAATCGTGAATCACGTGCGCCTAATACCTTTAAAAGTTTAGTTACAATATACTAGGTAGATAGGTATTGGGTACTTTGATTATTATTTGTTAACTACGAAGTATATTGTTTGAGTTATTTAATTATTTATTACTCATTTCTAACATACGTAATAAAAATGTAATATTCCTTTTTGTCATTTTTACAAAGAAATCAGAAACACCAATGGAAAACATTTCCTTAAAACTGTACATTATCCAAAGAAAGCAGAAGTATCTGGAAGGAATTTACTCCTTCTAGACTTTAGACCACAGCTGTGCGTCATTTAAATAAGGCTAATCTATACTAATATATAAATCTACAGTGGTTTTTACGGATGTTCCGTTATAACTACTGAATCATGCATCCGATTGCCTTGAAACTTGGTATCCATATAGAAAATACATGTACTTAATGGATAGGCTAATATTTTTATGAGTGTTGGACTCCCTACACCAGTAGCGGGGCCGTTAATGATGAGAATCTTTGTGGGGGTGAGAAATAATACTGTTAATTATAAATGCACAGCTAGCTAATGGACGGGTACAGCTAGTAGATGATAATTCTACATTACGTCTTGCGAAGTTTTCAAAAATATCATAGCTCATGATGGAATTTCTTTGTCAACAGAACGGAAGCTTTTCGTGGGTATGCTGAACAAGAAATTGGCTGAGAACGACGTGAGAGCTCTGTTCTCGGGACACGGAGCCATCGAGGAGTGTACCGTGCTGAGGGACGCCCAGGGTCAAAGCAAAGGATGCGCATTTGTAACCTTCGTATCGAAGCAGGCCGCTATAGCTGCCATAAAAGTAAGTCTAGTCTAATCCAATCGAAAGTACTTGCCACTTGACTTAACAATAAGTTTTTTTTTTAAGTTGTTACTGGAGCCCGTAGACCTCTACAACGCAAATCCGCCACCCACCTTGAGATATAAGTTCTAAAGTCTCAAGTATAGTTACAACGGCTGCCCCACCCTTCAAACCGAAACGCATTACTGCTTCAGGGCAGAAATAGACAGGACGGTGGTACCTACTCGTGCGGACTCACAAGAGGTCCTACCACCAGTAATTACGCAAATTATAATTTTGCGAGTTTCATTTTTATTACACGATGTTATTCCTTCACCGTGGAAGTCAACCGTGAACATTTGTTGAGTACATATTTCATTAGAAAAATTGGTACCCGCCTGAGTACGAACACCGGTGCATCGCTCAACACGTATGCACCGGACATCTTATTATTTAGGCCACGACAACTTAAGTTTGTTTTGACTTAAGATTGCTTGAAGTCACACTTTAAAAATATATCTTAGCTCTGTATGTATAGATATCAAATTTAATAAAAGTAATCGGAAAATCAACGATAACCACCTCGTGGTGGTACAAATTACAGACGTAATGCATTCTTTATAAGAGCTGCTAGCAGTTTCAATGCTCTAGCTGACTTCCCTGAACTGGACATTTTCAACACTTCTACTAAGAGTATTAGGAGAACATTAGTCAGTCGATGGTTGAATGCAAATATTTAATTAATTATTTTCTATTTACTACGTTTTTCTGTTTTTTTTTTTTTTTCTCAAACTGTTTTATTTTTGTTTTTGTTTTACGTTTTACGTTAATTATTTAATTCTAGGCGATGCGACGCCACAATCGTTTATAGTTATTTAAATGCGGAGACATTTAAATGGTGTTTAGTTGTAAGTTTAGAGTTTATATAGTTTAAGTTCACTGTTTGTCTTCCTAATAAAATAAAATAAAATAAAATAAAATAAAATAAAATAATTGGCTGTTGTCCTAAAAAAAATTAGGTTAAAGCTTCGCGAAGCGATGCAATGCGTAAAGATGTAAAAAAAACACGTGTGGCACTCGGGGATTGCCACGGTAAAGCTATTGCATAGCATTTTTTATCAACTTATGCAATTATAATTAGACAATAATAATTTAATAATACACAATAATAAAATAAGACCACGCTATATTTATAAACATTAACAAAAGCAAAACATTAACTGCCTCCTTCACACTCATAAGCTAGACCGCGAGAGAGAGAGATGAGCAGACTTTTCATGATGCGCATGCAGTGTGACATCACGCCGCGCGCTTATTCACAAACACTACACAAGTGCAACGTGTGGATGTGTTAAACGCGAGGTACATGGTAGGCGGAGTGGGGGGTGTTAAGTTTTATTTTCGTTACGGAATTTCTTGATTCCGTCGCCGCGCGAAAACATACGACAGACTGTGTATTTTTAAAAGTTATCATAGTATTAAGCGAGTCTACTCGACCGGTGTGCATTTTTTTAAATTGACACGTTGATTGGCATGTAGGTTACCGGTGCCCTACGCGGCGCACTGAAGTGATTATGTCGATTTCTGTCTTCGATCTTATTACTAAACCGCTGGAATATCTAGTAAGCTCTAGGAAAGACGAATCCGAAGAAGATAGTGAGAATGAATCTATTTTTAAGAGACCTAAAAGATAAAAAAAAAAACTTAGGCATTCCAATCGCCTTAGCAACAGAGATTGACATATATACTTCAGTACGCCGCGTAGGGCACCGGTGACCAGACGCGTTCCCGCCAAAACGTCAATATCAAAATTAATTAATTAATGTGTTGCCAACTTTAAAAATTCCAGGCGTTACATCACAGTCAAACGATGGAAGGCTGCTCAGCACCTCTGGTCGTTAAGTTTGCGGACACGCAGAAAGAGAAAGAACAGAAAAAGTTGCAAGCGATGCAGGCCAGCCTATGGGGCATCACGACGCCAGTGGCACCGACTGCGTACCTCGCGTCGGAAGCGGCCCTCTCACCAGCCACGCAACTGCAACTACTGCAGCAACTGCAAGCGGTCGGCTTGCAGCAACAGTTACTGCAAGGGCAGGGCTCGACTCTGTTACAAGGTTTGTTCAAATAGTTCTCTTCCGTATTCAGTCGTTATTCGACAATTATATGTTTTTAGTTTTTTTTTTATGGCAATTATTTTTTATATTTTATCCTTCCAGCAATAATTTAAAGTTGCTACTCCGAAGTCCGCCTCACTCGTTAGTACAATATTTTGTTAATATAAGTAAACGCAGAATAATAACAAAGATAAATGAGCCAAACGGTGGTAGCTGTTGTAAAACTAGTTTAAGCAACATTGTTTGAATACCTGTATCAAAATGATTAAATATCGTCCTACAAATGATGCTCGTGCAGGTAAAACCTGTTTAAAGGCGTCATTAAAAATGTGACAATTATGCTCCATTACATACCGCATGACTCACTATTATGATAATGTTACGTTTATTTTCAACTATCCGGTGTCCCACGACACCACACATTTTTTTTACACCTTGGGTTACATAATTGGAGTTTTAGTAAGGATCCCTAATTTGTTTTCAAAAAAGATTATATTACTCGGGAATAGTGTAACTTCCAAACCGTTGAAGGAGTTTTTCAAATCGGTTCAGTAATTTCGGAGCCTATTCAATACAAATAAACAAAAAAAAATCCTCTTTATAATATTAGTATAGATTAACCCGTTTAGTGGCTCAAGTTTGTAATGATTGTATCCAACCTTATCCCGCGTCCATTTTTATTTATTCCAGTTATTTTGTTTTTTTTTTGTTTTTTACGTTGGTCCTTTTGTGTTCTCCTCCCTAGGTGTTAACTATCAGGATATCGGTTTCAATGGTGCAGGACTGAGCGGTAGCGGAGTGGGAAGCGTGGGTGCGGAACAGCTCGGGGGCTTGCTGGCCCCCGTGTCCGTGCAGAACCTGGCGGCTCTGGCGGCCATAGCGCAGCCCCCCGTCGTGTCGCAGTCGCAGGCTGTCGCGNTTTTTTACGTTGGTCCTTTTGTGTTCTCCTCCCTAGGTGTTAACTATCAGGATATCGGTTTCAATGGTGCAGGACTGAGCGGTAGCGGAGTGGGAAGCGTGGGTGCGGAACAGCTCGGGGGCTTGCTGGCCCCCGTGTCCGTGCAGAACCTGGCGGCTCTGGCGGCCATAGCGCAGCCCCCCGTCGTGTCGCAGTCGCAGGCTGTCGCGCCAATCGCCCCCACCACCGCCCCGCAATCCGCGGCGCCGCAACTATGTAAGGGCCCTGCACACAACAAAATTCATCCCACCGAGTTTCTCGCCGGATCTTCTCAGTGGGTCGCGTTTCCGATCCGGTAGTAGATTCTGCGAAGCACGGCTCTTGCTAGGGTTCGTGTTAGCAACAACGTCAGGTTTGAGCCGCACCAGCTCACCTACTAGTTCGGCGAATCTAGAATAACCCCTCGAGGTTACTAGAATAGGTAGGAAAAAAAAATCACAATAGAATTGAAAAAGGAAAACCTTTCGACTAGGTATCAATCGTATAACTATCGCCTCAATTTAGACTGGACTGTCCTAATTTACTTTCACATCAAATGAATTGAAAAGAAGCAGAGATAATCTTTAGTCACTAAATTTTCGGGAAATCCTTTTTAGTCCGCAAACTTTCCTATTTCAGGTTGGACTTAAAAATGTTGAGACTAAAAAAAAAGTTAATTAACGATGAACATTTTTCACGCTTCAGGTCTTCTCGGGAAGACTAACATTACAGGTAAAACAATGAAAATGAAAAAATAAAGAAATTGTGTGTTTATTATTAATATGGAATGAAGACTTATATACTGCCTAGATTATTTTAATGATAAATGAGGCGGGATGTGACGTGACAAATCGTGCAAATTTATAAAAAAATACATATTATGTTTGGTGTGTCGTAAATACATAATCATAATTGCAACAAGAAAACTGAGCACAGAAATGATTATTTTACCGGGTTTTATATCATCTACATACAATTTAAACATTAATTTAGATTCTGCTTTTCAATTAAAATAAAATTTATGAAGAATTCTTAAACAATTTTCACAATGAAGTTAATGTAAAATGACAATGTTTCTGTAAAATGTTAGTGCATTAATTACTCCATCACGTAATATTTGTTACATTATGGAATTGAGTATAATCTAATCTAATGCAACTACTTTTAAATGTGAAAATATAAAAATGCACATATTTTAATTTATGTTTAAACATCCACCTTATTTATCGGAATAATCTAGAATTTTGCTTGTTTCAATTTGTGTTTGCATCACAATAGATAATGTTTTCTGATATTGCTTGGCTTTTGATAGGCTCTACGTCTACGTTGTCAAAGGAGAACAAGCATGAATACTCCATATTTTTTTGTAATTGTAAATAGTGATCGTTAAGTTTGTGGATTAAAACAATATTTTGTTTATGACATTTTGAGGGAATAATTTTGAGGAAAATGAAACTGAAGTTAGGCTATTTAAGTTTAATTATTTTAATTGGTCGTTTTTATTGTATGTAGTACTAAAATTAAAAATGCCGGCAAGCGGTGTGGTGAATGTGCCCCCTGGCATTGGTAATGTCCCTGGGGAACCGTTTGAAAGCGACAGTAAAACTTCCTAGGAATTAAAATCTACAGTAAAAATGTAAACATGTTTAAAAAGGTAGCTGATGCGATTGCCCACATTATGTTGAAGTCTCATTCTCGAAATTCTCTCTTTGCGAAATTTTCGATTTGATTTGACTCGATTTGGAAAAAAAAAATTACGGTAGCGCCATCCCGTGTCTGCTCAAAAGTCAGAAGACGGTCTTCCGTCAGTACAGTACAATGAAACCGGAATCAGGGGATGAAAGGAAGAAGTCCGGAACATAGAAACCGCCATGGATTGATTCCTCAGAGTCTGCACACCTCTTCTTAATCTAACTAACGAGAAAATCCATTATGAACTTCTTGCCTAGAATTTTCCTTAAACAAAACAAGCAATTTCTGTTTTCACGATTCCCGCACTCGTGGGAGATTGAAATTTGGATATAATACGAACGATTTTACAACTTCGTTTTGTAAAATTTTAAGCATTAATTTTCACTAGTATCTGGTTTCAAATTTCATTGTAAGATATGATTGTGTAGTCGAACAGTGGGTTCGTTGTGTGTGTGTGTGTGTGTGCGTGTATTTTTTAATCGTCTTAACCTTTTTTTTTTTCTTCTCTGTTGTTTTGTTTGTAAATGGATACATAGACAATGTGTTTTTTTTTCTGTGTAATTTACATTTAACATTAGTACGTATCGGAATTTTTATCGCAGTGTGCCTAATCATGATTGTTTTTGCATGACAGTGCTAAAAATTTTTTTTTTTTAAGTATGTCGTGATTTTCTTTGTCCGTTAAGCAAGTAACAGCTTTCGAATTTTAAAAATATTTGTTAACTATACGTTTACCAGGCATGTTTTAACGATTATTAGTATGTAGCTTTAAAAATAAAAGTGTCCTAAAATTCGCTTAATTTGTAGTTACTTATTACGTTTTTCCATTGAATCTCCGTTTGCGTAATTTAGTTATTATTAAGATCGTTCTTTTCGTCTACATCGGTTTTCAATTACTGTCACATCAACTTTGTTCCAAAATTGTCTATCAGTTAACGACTTTATAATTGAATTAGAAAATTGGTTTGCCAATTAATACTGGGAATAATTGGACATTGGACAGCGTTAGTGTTATAAATTTTTAGATTATATAGATTTTAACGACTTTTTAAAGACTTAATATTTGTTTGTTAATTTCTATTTGAAGCCTCAAAGAAACCATTAGAAATACGCTAAAAATCATCATACTAAAATATTCTTTTTTACAGTCAGCTACCAAAACAGTTGCATTTTCACATTTTTCTTGCACGTGCACGTGTATACGATATTCAAAATTTGACACTTATAATGTAGGGTCAACCGCTGAGCCGCTGAGTTCAGCGTACGCCGCGCAGTTCGGCAGCGCTGCGTTCGCTGCAGCGCCGCTCGGGTCAGTGCTGGGGTCGGCAGCCGCCGCAGCCGCGGGGAAACAAGTCGAAGGTAGGCAATCTAAAAACCCTCACATTATGAATATACGATTAACTCAATCAACTATACTATACTATAATATTATAGAATAAATCGTCTTCTCGCATTAAAACTGTATAATCTCAAAACTTCCTAATTTTACAGGAGAATGTTTTAAAGGTTTAACATGTCGTAATCTTTTTAATATTAATCATCTTTGTTACATTTACTTTTTATTTTTTGACCAGTTACATTATCTGCCTTTTAAAGATAAAATTATGTATTAATTTTGGTAATAGTAGTCAAAACATAGGTAAACTAAAAAAAACTAAAACTAAACTACGCTCTTTTGACAGTATTTATGAGAAAAATTATGGTGATACCTAATGTTTACGCATATTAACTCAATTTCGAATATTTTTAAAAATTGTATGCTTTTAATGCGAAATCTGCTTGTAAAACATAAATAAAAAAAATTATCGTTTTGAATTAATTTTCAATTTGTTCTTAAACCGTTCCAGGTCCGGAAGGCGGCAACCTGTTCATTTACCACCTGCCCCAGGAGTTCACGGACACGGACCTGGCGTCTACGTTTCTGCCGTTCGGACACGTGATTTCGGCCAAAGTGTTCATAGACAAACAGACGAACCTCTCGAAGTGTTTCGGTTTCGTCTCGTACGACAACGCGGCCTCCGCACAAGCGGCCATACAGGCGATGAACGGCTTTCAAATAGGTACAAAGAGACTTAAAGTTCAATTGAAACGATCCAAGGAACTATCAAGACCGTACTAGAATATTCCAGAATTCGTTCCTAGTGCAAAGAAATTACGAAAGAAAAACTATATCGAAAAGGGGTTGTAGTTTCTGTATGTTTGTTGTGATGTAACCGGTGCACACGAGCACGATCCATGAGGCGCGCGAAAAGTTATATTATGGAACGCGATTCCGAGTGCACAGTTGTTAACTAATAAGTATGTATATTAATAAGGTTTGTGTTAAAGGATTATCGTTTCCAAAGTATTCCCCAAATTTCTTTATTATTATTATTAATAATGTAAATTAATTTTTAAAGTTGGTATCATTTAGAAACTTTTTGATTATATAAAAGATGAATTTGATCAGGAACCAACGACGACCAGCACCAAAGAACTGGTACTTTACAATGTAAATTTCTGATACTAGTTATTTCTTCACCCAAAGTTTTATATTCAGAATATGAATACCAAATAAGTATTGCTCGTAGATTTTTATTTAAAGGTTGCGTTCGTTTTGAACAAGTTAGTTTATATGTTTTTCTTGTTATTATCGTTTGTTTTATTTTATGTTACCACTCGTAGTAAAATATGTGTATTCATTCACGTGGCCATTGTCAGTTGCAATTCAGTCATTTCGTTTGAAAATTTTTTTAAGATGTTTAGATTAAAGATGATGATCTCAAAGTGATCAGTGTATTTATTGTTTACATTATTCGTTTTACAACATCTCAATGGAAAGATCTTACAGATTCAAAATAGTGGTGGGATAGTGTATAGTATTTTTTATACAAGTTCTCTATCTCATCAAAAATTTACTTTTGTCGTCATCAAAATGTCTGACATTTCTGACGATCAACATACAATTTTTAAAACTTTAATTTCATCTAAAGTTGTCACTGTAAGATTCATAGATTATACTGAGACTCAATAGTACTTAAAGTAGTGGGGAGGGCAAAGCATAGATTGTCTATGACAAATGCCTTTGCTTTCCGGCTTTGTATGTGGTTTTCAAAAGATTCGAGAAACTCGCAGTCTCTTGTCTTAAGTAATAATGTATTTTTTAAATAATAAAAGTAAAGTCAATTGAAAATGAAATAATGAAGTCCATAGTCTATATTGATATTTGTCCGAATCTATTATTATTTACCTTATTGCAATTTATTTTAACGTTTACAGTTTTGACATTACAGACGTTAGTTTCCAAGTTGAAATTATTATTTGGTATTGTGGTATTAATTTCAGCCCCTTGATACTTTTGAAAAGTACCTACACAAGCAAGTACCTATTGTTTTATTGGTACTATTTATTTTGTTGTGCTTGTTTTGTATGTAGTTTTTTACAAAAGTACTTTAGTACAAAAGTCAAATCGATTACGATTAAACTATTAATAAACACATCGAACACACTGGCCCTTTAGTCAAAGTTTTTTTTGTTAGTAAGTAATTTAATATATTAGAATAATTTCGCATGTAAGTTTGGTGTTTCTTTTTTTTTTCTTCTATTTAAAAAAAATGTACTTTTAAATTTTTCTCTACTCTTATTAATTTGATTAGTCACTGGCACTTTTCATTATTATTATTTAAGTTCAAAAATATTGCGTTGTGGAATAGATGATGCCGAAATAAAGCACTACCAATTTATTAATGACAAAATGCATAAAAAATACGTAGATTTATATTAATCGAGAAAAACGGTTTGTTTGTTTCAAAGCAAACATAACTTAATAATTATTTTTTTTAATTGGTTTTGGTAGTCAAATTTATATTCAATATATACTTTTGTACCCAATTTCATTAACTGTGAGATTTCAGCTTGATTCTAAAACTTACCCCACATTTCTTCCACGACGCATAATTATTTACCTGCTACTTAGCTCTACGATTAAGTATTAATTATTAATATTTTTATTTTCGATGTATTCACTCGTCGTATGTAAGGACTTCGCTCAATAAAAAGGATTAAGGAAACTTATAAGGGAATCAATCAACGTTGCTTGTGAAAAGTCATAATTAATAATTTGTTTTGTTCATTAAAAATAAAGTGTAACGTATTCATGTTCGTTAACATGTCAACTGACATGTTGTCTTCGTCTAGACTTTTTTATTCAAAAGTAAATTAAAAGAAAGTTAACTCATTAATTTTGAAGTTGGCATTACAATCAAGCACTTTGAGCATTGTCAATGTCATTGTCTTAACAGTTGCTTATAGAAGGGGTACATAATCGTTTTTCACAAACTTAAATGTAAATGAGTTAACTTTCGTATTAACTTTTAAAGTTGTGATTTGACATTGATCCGCCATTAAACGACCATTTGATGAAATTTTAATTAAAAAACCTTTTGTACATGTCAACATAATGATTAAATAAAATTACTTTAATAAAGTCAAGATAGAAAAATTTCAAAGTTCTACGTTTTGTGTATCTTAATATAAGTTTTATCGTTTAATTTAAAATGTGGATGATCTTTATGTGAAGTTTAATGCTCAAACTTTGAAAATAAGGTTCGCAAATCATTTGTAAAAAAAACGGCTTACATATGCTTTATAAAAACAAGCCTCGACAATCTTTTTTTCTAAATGTACGGTGCTACCTTATTTTCTCTGTTGAGTTCATAATTTTAAATGTCTAATGAAAGACAACATTTAGACTGAATAAGTTTCCTTTTAGACGTTACTGAACAAAAAACTTGTTCTTTGTGATTCCTTTAGTGAATTTGTGTAAGTAGTGAAATTTTGTCGTTTCTTTAATTATTATATGTACTGGGTGTATCGGAAAAGTTCTCGAAAACGAAGACAGTCGTTATTGTTTACTGACACAACTAAGAATAAAAACTCATTGGTACGTATATCGAACGATGTTTTTTACTCGCGGTGTTACGATTTAAAAGTCCAAATCGCGCCGCTCTCGTCCCAAGACACGCGCGGTCATCCACCTTCGACTTGAATAGCGAATGTCTTCGAGAACAGTCCCCTTACGCCCTGAATTTCTTTTTTGTCTTTTTGTTTATTTTATTGAAGTGAAACTTCCTTATCGGCGTTGGAAAAAAATTTACCGTCACGTTTTTCGGTTACGCGTCACATTTTTCCGTTACGCGCCATCTGTTTTGTATTCATGTCTATGATAATAAAATCCTTTTGTTTAAACTTTATCTAATTTAACTTTTTTGTATTCATGTCTATGATAATAAAATCCTTTTGTTTAAACTTTATCTAATTTAACTTTTTTGTATTCATGTCTATGATAATAAAATCCTTTTGTTTAAACTTTATCTAATTTAACTTTATTTAACCAATTTCTAGAAAGTTGCATGTAGATCATTTTTCGAAAAATAAGGCCATAAATAAGTTTCACTTCTTACGTGTGTACACTAGTACACGCACACATTTTTTTTTATTGTTATTTAAGGTTATAAATTATTATCATATAAAGTCATGAGAGTAAAAATTAACAAAATGAAGGTATAAAGTAAATTGTATTAATGTGATTATTTTTTAAGAAATGAAAATGGGAATCCGCGACACGTACATTTACTGTCATTTTGTGAAGCTGGTTGTCTATGACTTGATACGTTTTAAAAAGCCATACCGTACCTACTGTGCTATCATCAAACCAAGCCTAATTAAGAATCATGCCGTCATTTTGGTTCTGTTCGATTCATTAAAGAAAACAGAGGGCTTGCTTTTATATGATCTGTGCTCTTGCAATAACGATCGAGCATTCAAAGTAGTCATAATATTTTGTATTCGAAACGTGAAAATGAATGTCCAGCTTCAAGTTTGATAGATAAAATGAAATATAAATTGGGAATAAAAGTTACCTACAATTTTTTAGGTACCTAATAGATTAATGTTTCTTGAAAAAAAAATGTACAGTTTGTCTATGAATCAAAATTTAATTTTTACGAGTCATTGTAATTTTTTTTAGTCTCGTTATTGGTGGTGCTGCCAGCTCATAAAGTATTGAACATTTAATATTTAGCTGAGAATACTTGCTTTTTTATATTTTCGCCAACCATTCGCCAATGATAGTCCTCATTATTTACAACTAAACATTTATAGCGTAGAACAACATTCGTTTATGTTCTTTATACTGTTTTCCGTCTAAATTTTCTATATTTGCTCAGAATATCATTATTAATAATTTATACTGTCATTTTATAAATACTGTCATTTCTATTGAGTCGTATAGTTTATTGATACCACAGAGAAAACGAATGTTGGAAAAAGTATAATTTCAATGTGATGTTTCAGCATAAAAATAATCAATAATCAAAAATGCTATTTATTAAATTGTGGGTACTACGAATGAGTTTCTAATCTTATTATTTTACTTTGTTTGCGAAAAGTAAAATCAGCTTGATTGAATAGAGTCACGGTACAATAATCAGCATATCTATGGAAAGATGAAAAAATATATATATTTTTACAAATCTCGAGGCACTTTAGCGAATATACTAAAGTAAATGCAAAATTCAAAGAACTGTTTTTATATACAAACACCCGTTTTTGTTTATTATGGATGTAAATAAATGTCAAGTTTCAAAACGCCAATTTGTTTTTTTCTTAACCTCTTTATTATTAAAAATACTGCAGAGCACTTTATTCAAGGTTACACATTAGACTCTCCATTCATTTGTCGCTGACAATGCAGTCAACTTAAGTTGGAATTGCATAAATTCTTTAAAGAGACTAGTTGAAAATGTGTCCAGCTGTAAGCAGCAATTTTTTTTTATTGCTTTGATGTGTGGACGAACTCAGCCCACCTGGTGTTAAGTGGTTACTGGAACCCATAGACATCTATAACGTAAATGCGCAACCCACCTTGAGATATTAAAGTTCTAAGGTCTCAAGTATAGTTACAACGGCTGCCCCACTCTTCAAACCGAAACGCATTACTGCTTCACGGCAGAAATAGGCAGGGTGCTGGGTACCTACCCGTGCGGACTCACAAGAGGTACTACTAAAGTATTCTTTTCGGTTGTTTTTGTTTTGCTTAAGATGAACACTCATAGACAACCAAGATGTGGTTAAGATTATCCGTCAACTTTACTTGCAATATGGTTCACACACACAGTTCTTGAAAATGGTCATCTTATGCTCAGCTGGGACCGATCTATTATCACGAACAATGCAATTGTCATAAAACAAGCTACTATCGTGACAATTGACGGGTTTGTCCGTCTAACAATTTTAGTATCACACTACTTCATGAAGACAGGATAATGATAAAATATTTGAGTCCGATGCACGGAGTACCCTGTAGCATGATGATCTAACCATAATAAGTTTAATTGTCGATGCATCCTTGGATAGCGACAAGCTTCATATACCGGACTTATAAAGCTATATAAGATCACTATTATGCCGAGTTTGACCCTGGTATTGCTGACGTTCGTAACTGATAGTGACAACTCACCATGAGGTGGGTCGAGTACATACAAAAAATATTGATTACTTGTGTATATACTATAATTAAACTAATTTCGTGTTCAAAAACAATCTCTTTACATTTTGTATACAATAAAATACACTTACATTCTGAGTATAATATTGTGGCGGGTAGCTATCATTTAACGGTAGGCAGCAGGTTAGCTTTGCACCTGGCATTGCTGACGTCCATGGGCGACGGTAACCACTCACCATCAGGTGGGCCGTGTGCTAGTCTGCCTACAAGAGCAATAAAAAAACCATGATATTTGGCAGATGCCCGAATCTCGCTTACGACATTTTTAGGATAAGCTTGCATATACAACTATACGTGTATATTGTATACAAGTTCCGAACAATAACGTTCAGACTGTTGGTCTATACCAGCGGTCGGGGAACCGGGGTAAATTACTCCAAATGGGGTAAAATGAAATTTTGGGGGGTAAAAATGAAACTTTTGTGAGTAAAAAGTATATATTGAAGTGAAACTTCTTTGGACTCGTTGTGATTTCAAAGTTTCAAAGTCGATGAAACGAAATTAAACGAAACGAAAAAACAATTTTTTTTTTCAATATTATCATGGCGGCTATAATATGAAAGATGCTAAAAAGAAGTGATTTCGTTTTTTTTTTTGTTCTTCGCCATGGGGTAATATCAACTTACACAAAAATATTTTGGGGTAATAATTAAAAAAAATCCCCGACCGTTGGTCTATACTACACCCGCTCGGTCGAAGACCTTCCCTGTGTCGTAATATGTTTAAAAAAACAACAATAATTTTAAAACCAACAAAAATCAAACATTTATTACAACTAATCATTCTCGTATTTTGGTACATTCTTCTCTGAGACATCATCGACGGCCTCACTCCTCTCCTTCTTCTTTTCCAAGGCCTCTCTCACGGTTTTTATAAGGCCGTTCTCATCGGCCAAGGGCAATATGTCGCATATCAAAGGCGATTCCACGCCCAGTATGTAATGACAAGTTTTAGGTTCCAACAAGTACAGGGAGACTTGAGCTGGACTCGACGAATTCTCTAGACATTTAAGTTTGACCTCGGTCTGCCGGGGTCGGCCGGTTTTGTCGCAAACGTCGCCGTTCGAATAGAAATGCGATATTGAAATTCTTTGATCTGAAAACAATATAAATTAAGTATTATATCAGTATTATATCAACAGGAAAGACTATTGTTTAACCGATATTTCGCTTAATACCCGACATTTATCTATATTTTAATACGTGAAGCAAAAACTTTGTACCCCTTTTTTTCGAAAATTGCGCGGATAGAGAACTATGAAATTTCCGACACTTATAGAGAATATAGAGGAGGAGTGCAGAATGCTTTTTTTTTTTAATTAAGCATACAAAATGCATTAAATCAATATAAAAACCATTAGACACACTACCATGTATTTGGCACACACACGCATATACTTTACTTATTGTCAAAGTTTTCTTATTGTTTATAGTCTGTGGTCAATTTGAAAATAGAATAATATTGTTTGCCTTTAATATTATTTGTCTATAGTGTAGTCTTGACGAAATGTGTGATTATAGAAGTTTAACAGTCTGACAGTAATAGAACCATAATAATGTACAAACTTATAATTTCAATTCGGTAATTATAGTCGAATTTCGACTCCTGTGGGACCACTAGTTTTTTCAAAATTTCAAACTATAAATAAATGGCTCCCCTGTAATTTTTCAAACATATCGCTTAAAAATTTATACTGCAGTACGTTAGTCAAATGATGTCCAATCGAAGAGTTGGAAAGTGAACTCCAGTAATCCATATTTTTCAAATAACAATTCACTTAGAACAACCTATTTTCTCACATCACTACAATGACATAGTATAAAACAAAGTCGCTTTCTCTGTCCCTCTATCCCTATGTATGCTTAAATCTTTAAAACTACGCTACGGATTTTGATGTGTTTTTTTTTAATAGATAGAGTGATTGAAGAGGAAGGTTTATATGTATAATAACATCCATTAAATAGTGGAGAAATCAATAATAAATTAGTTTCCGAAACGAAGCGAGGGCGGGTCGCTAGTTTACAATATAAGGATATCGGATCTTCATCGAACCGAATTTTGAAAGTCGTCGTGGCCTAAACGATAAGACGAATGCACCGGGCGTTCGTGTGTAGCGATGCACCGGTGTTCGAATCCCGCAGGCGGATACTAATTTTTCTAATGAAATACGTACTTAACAAATGTTTACCATTGACTTCCACGTCACCGTGGAATAACATCGTGTAATAAAAATCAAACCCGCAAAATTTTAATTTGCGTAATTACTGGTGGTAGGACCTCTTGTGATTACGCGCGGGTAGGTACCATCACCCTGCCTATTTCTGCCGTGAAGCAGTAATGCGTTTCGGTTTGAAGGGCGGGGCAGCCGTTGTAACTATACTGAGACCTCAGAACTTATATCTCAAGGTGGGTGGCGCATTTACGTTGTAGATGCCTTTGGAAACCGGTGACCACTTAACATAAGGAGGGCTGTGAGCTTGTCCACTCATCTATGCAATAATAAAAAAAATTAAAAATCTCCCTCGGGTCACTATATCAGCCGAGTCATAGTAGATACCTATAGGTTTCGGAGCTTTCCCTTTATTATCCTTGATCCAGTCCAGATGCGCTTTCTCATCAAATCGACCCAACATTACGGTGGTTTTCTCGCCAGCGCGATCTATGTGGTACTGGAGCACGTGCTTCCCGTAGCAGAACTCGTATTTCCACCAGCCTGTACCCTGTAATGAAGGGATTGTGTATGATTTATCGATATGGGAATTGCGAGAATGTTCCAATTGCGAGCAGGGTCCGTCGTTATGATCCACCTTGAAAGGGGCTACAATCAACGTCTGTAGGCTGAAGTAGAGATGTCGATATTAGAAAAACATCAATGTTGACATCGATGTTAACATCGATTTAAAATCAATGTACAATAAACATCGATAGTAAAACATTTATTTTGGTAAAAAAAAACGGTCATTTTATTTAATATACGTGTTTATTAATAAAAACTACGTTTTACGAATTATAAGCGGGCGTTTAATTATTAGACTTGACTCCGACATCACACTTCATAATTTACAATTTTCTTAATTTCACACACATTTATGTAGTACGGCTTACTACGATTACGTTAATCAGTGTCATCTAATTTAAGCTAGAGAGTACATCCACCGTTAGATGGCCCTAAAAAATATATGGAAGTCTCGATAATTCGATATTATATTCTCATAATATCGATGTGTCGATGTTATTAAACCATAACATCGATGTTTTCCAGCTAAACATCGATGTTTATTCAACATCGATGAATATCGATCATCCCTAGGCTGAAGATGAAAATGATAATGATGATGACTTTGAGTTTACTTCGTCGCAGATTAAGTTAGAGCGACTTTTGTTCTGTAATTAACGCTAACGGTTATAGCTACTGTTCATATTAATGCTGCTGATAATGCTGCCACTACTCCCATTACTATAAAAATAACCTTTAGGGCAAGGGCAAACAGCACCAACCTACAAGAATTTGACATGCTTTATGGCATTAGCAAAAACGTAAAATTCAAACAAGCAACAAAAAAAAGTATTATCTGTCTAAATTTATTTCTTTATAGAATTTTTTGCAATATATAGTACATTGTGCACCAAGGGAGAAAAGTTGGACATTTCCTCCCGCGTGTAAAATTGCAAACACGCGGGATGGGATGTCCTACTTTTTTCCCGCGGTGCACATACTATTTATTTCTCCTACCAGGCCGAAAGTTCGACATTGTAAAACACTTAGCACCCATGGAGTACCGAGCCGGGTCCAGGGGCGAAGCCGAGGCGGGGGGTGGGGGCGGCGGAGCCCCCCCCCCATTCATAAAAAAAACAATTTTACTGTTTTTTAATTTTTTTATAAACTACTACTAATTGAATAAGAACTGTCTGATGAATTCATCTTTGTTTAATACGTCACTATTAAATTTGATTGCCTTTTGTTTATTTCACTTTTACATTAAACACAACACTGCATATTACCCGAGCACAACAATGGCGGAGAATTTTAGGTGCGTGAGAGCAGACGTAGACACTAACTCGCATGCGCACTTGTCAGTACCCAGGGAGAAAAAGTTAGACTTTTTTTCCCTGTACAGCGAGACGAAAACCGAACTTTCGGCGTAGGTAGGAGAAAAATTAACATTATAATAATAATTTCGTTTCAATTATTATTATTTTGTGCTATGACAAGAGCTAAGTGTTTACGCTACCATTGCCTATCCAAACAGTTTGCTTATATCTTATAAAAATCTGTTAGTACATATGAAGAAGAATGGCCTTATTGACTTAACTGTGAACATGATTACTAGAGCCCTCATAAACCAAATTCCATGAAATTAAATTAAATTAAAAATACTTTTCAAAACTTCATGACAGTGATAGAAGTGAAACTTCTCTAGCGTAAAAATAAAAAGACCCCATTGTTTCCCTTCTGTTTGAGACTTTGCACTGGATTCCGAACCACTACAGACATATTTTCGGTGCATTTCATTCGTTTACGTTATATTTCAACACAACAGACATTGCATGGTTTCTGACTGAGCCTTTGCTCGCCCACCTGTCCTGGTCTGGCTGAGCCTTTGCTCACCCACCTGTCCTGGTAAAACTGGAAAGGCCTCCGGGCCACCAGTAATCCTTCAATCATAAAAAAAAACATTGTATGGTAGTGCTCCAAGTTCGACTTACACCATTTAGACAATTTTCCCCATTGAGGAAGGCTCGTACGGGAGAATCATCCGTGATTGGCGGAGGGCGCTTGTCGACGCTCGGTACTGTCTTCGGTGGGTCTGACGTCATATCCTCGTCGTCACCCAGCGGGTGCAGTTCGAATTTCAAATGGGTTTCGCCGTCCTGAAAAACGTTACGTCATTAATATTAAAAAACTATGCGAAAACTTTATTCCGATTTTAGTTCTATCGATTACATTTTAGGGATCGAGTACAATGTAACGGTAAAGGTAAGAAAACGCTCTGTCTCTTTCTCGCTTTATTTTTTTAACGTATATTTTAAAGTCACGTTTTCATATCTTAGGAGCTACAATGATACGTGTCATATCTATCAAAAACACAATACAATATGAATATAACAGCACTCTCTCAGTTATTATATATTTAATGAAACTAGTATTCCCTTTTTTATTGTCAAAATTGAGGAGCACTCTCACATCCTATTTATTCGCTTTAAAGTGGCTCTCAACTTGGAGACCCACTTTGAGACGCGAGGTCCCAATTGGACTGTACAATTGCGGTCTCACCCTTCAAGCCTCAACGAATGAATGCTATGCAGCTACTAGTCAAGGTGGTGTTAGCCGTGTAGCTTTAAAACCACCAGCTTTTAACCACCAATAAATGGAGGTTAGCGATCGGACTACGTTAGTGTAATACTGAGAGCACTACTACCTAATCTCCGATGATTCCCTTAGTCGCAAAGGCATTGTAAAAAACGACACCCACGGGAAGATGCAGGGTTGTGCTATTTTAGGACATTATGACCATAGTCACTGACAGTTCAAAATTTACATTCATTTTTATTCATTATATTTTGTGTTTTGTAATGTTATAGGATAAATGAAAAAAAAAATTTTTTTCTTATTGGCAACATTAAGTTCGTTGAAGAGATAAAAAAAGTAGGTTGCTATGCAAAAAAATGTTTCATTAAGTTTTGTATTTTTCTTATTTAGCTTTATGACATGAAGTTCCCCATGGTTGGAAAAAGCCAGCTTTTATTTATTTTTTTATTTGGAAAACAAAAAACAAATGAATCTAATTCTGGAAATGTCACTGATCATCAATGTTAAGCCTTCAAACCGGAACAACAGGTTTGGGGCAGAAATGGAGAATATTATTGTTCATGTATTGTGTGTTGTGCCTCTCTTGATATGCCACCAGTTGGAAGCAAATTCAGTAAAATATTCAAACATTAAAGTATATAACATTAAAAAAAACGTAACAACCTAACTACTTAATCCCAAAAAAAAAATAACCTCAAAAACTATAATATTTCTAAACGGGCTAAATACAATATAAATTATTAATTTTGTTTGTATGGATAAGGTGATACTACGAAAAACTTACCTTTTCAAATTTTCCGACTTTCAAAACTGCAAGTATATCCTTAACTGTCTGGTCCTGAATGTGCCAATAACAGTGTTAATACAAGCAACTACAGTGTAAATACAAAACAAAATCCAAATTAAAATTAAATAATACACTTAAAAACAAAAAGTATAATATTAAAAGATTTGCTACATTTATTACCGGACCTGACTCTTAACAGTTCTGAGTATTTTAATGACGTTTAAAGTAATATCATTAGAGTTAAGCATCATCGGGGCTCAAACCGGAGGTGTTGTTAACACTGGCCCTAGCAAGAGCAGTGCTTTACAGAATCTAACACCGGATCAGAAACATGACCCACGGAGAAAATCCAGCGAGAAACTCAGTGGGCTGTTTCCCTTGTGTTGTCAACTACAGCTGAATTAAATTGTGCTACAAGCAGCAACAGTACTTAACAAAACATTACAGAGCAGACAGGTGAGACTCAGTAATACAGAACATTTTTTTCTATAGTTTTCTATAGTTATAGTCATTTTATGTACTAACCTAATATAATAATATTATATTTATTTGTTGTAATGTACATATTATTAATATGTTTTTATTTGGAAATGGACAAGCCTTATTTGGAAATGTCAAGCTCTGATCCTTCTAAGTGGTGAAATTGCATTCCGAATAAGTGGTAGCCTTGACAATTTTAAAGCTCATTTGAAGGCATGCTTTAAAAGAAACTTTTCCAATATTAGTTTTAATATTAAATTAATGGATATTAAAAATTTAGGTCAAAAATTTAAAAAAAAACCAATCCTTTGTAATTAATTGTATGAATTTAAGACATAGAATCGAGACATTGATTTCATTTTTGAGCTAAACATTATGCCACTCTACTTGTATTATAATAGAAAAGCTGTAAGTTCTACCTCATTAAGAGATTCCTTGCTGTTAAGCATTTATACAAATGACTATCATCAAACTGCTGGAACTCAAAGTTAATATACTATCAGTCTTCATGTTTGAAATTAATAATGGAACAAATCTTAACTAAAATAAGCATAAATTCTATTTCAACAAACAAGCATAATAAGGTAAATTACTGCTAGTTATCTTTCACACATAATATAGTAATAATATAGTACATACAGCATTATCCATGAGTCTTATGCTCTGATGATGAAATCTCAAACTGTTCGCTTCCATTTTCAATAAGTCCCTTGGCTTCCTTGGAGCGTCTCCGATTGGGAGGCAGTTTATAACATTCTCACTAACATCCATAGGTTTGAACTGTGGATGTTCACATAGAAACGGCGACAGAATAATGATCTCGTACTCGCAAGTAGAAGTCTCTCTGAAGGAATAAACCTCATGCTTTCCATGTGTGTAACACACATAATGAACCCTAGTTAGTCGTGGTTTGCCATTTAAATCACAAATTGTACCTAAAAATTTAAATTGTTTATCATTATTATTTTTTAATGACTGAGAAATGTAATGACTCAATTAATACATATATAGCCATAATTCCCACACATATGGTGGTCTAAGCGGCACCACAATATGAACTGATGCAGAGCAACTTTTCATATTATTTTAGACTCTGATGAGGTTTGAAAACATCCCTCATTAACAATCAGCTGGTTGACGGTTCTCATGATATGATTGTGATATGACTGATGATGATAATCTCACCGGCAAGTAGAATAAATGCATAATTGTCTAACGAGTAACAATACACAACAATCTCACTTTTTCATTTATAATATTAATTAGATAACTTTTGATTAATTTAATTCAATCACAGATTTGATGAATTTCAATGAAATCAATTGATGAACAATAATAGGTTTGTTTATAAATAAATACCAGATTGATGGTTTTTAATTATTTATATAACATACTTTTGGCTGAAAATTTAAGTTATTAGTAAACATACCATCATCCATTACTATTTCAACGTTAGGTAGAGCAACTCCCTCTACTTTGGTGGTCTTGGGGATTTGTTTGGATTCCTGTGCCGCTTTCATTTCAGCCTCCAGCTTAGCCTGCTTTTCAGGGCTCCAATATCCCAAGAAATATTCTTGGGTGTTGATTTGTTTGCCTTATAAAAAAACAAATGAGTTTGAAAACGGTTTATATATAATATCTTACAGGATTTAGAATTTTTAATTTCATAACTGTATCTGTAAAATAATGTTAGTCCATAGATGGTATTTAAAAAAGCTTTTATTTTTACAAGTGTTTGTGGCAAATTGTATTAGTACATTTTAACAAATATTTTGTTGTTAAAAGCACTCTTTGTTTAAAATATTACCGAAAAGGTTTGTAGCTTTGTTATTTCTGAGCTGAAGATTTGAAATAATACAGCTTTACTTGTGGTTAGTGTTTTCATGGGACAAAAAATCCATCAATTCACAGATTAATGAGTTGAACACCTTTAAATACAGTGAAACATACCCTCTCTTTCTTCGTGATACTGCCGGATATACCTTCCATGGCATACTTCATAGCTCCAATAGCTTTCCAATCTATATGAACACATTTCTTTGTTCATCAAAGGCTTTAGAAGGTGAAGAGGTGATGGACCATCGTAATCATCAATGCTGGTAGACTCCGTACTACGAAGTTCCGGCAGTTGACATTCGTAACTCTCTTTATTTGTTGTTGTTACTTTAACTAACTCTTGGTTCTAAACAAAATTACTTATTTTAGAACATGTAGCTTTGTGTAAAACTTTAATGGTAGGTAGATATATCACCTGAGACTTGTTTTGTTCTCCATCAACGAAATTTTCGTTTAAATTGGGATTACCAGGCCAATTTATCCCAAACAAAATGCTATCATCGAATCCTTTAAAGTCATGTTCAATACCTATGCAGCTATAAACTAAACTTAACATAACAATTTTCACTCTCATTTTGCTATTTCTTAATAATCACGCCTACACATATTTATTTAATATCTATTGGTTTTAATTTAATAATTAGTCGAGCGTTGGATTTTTTTATTTAATTTTCTCGAACAATTTGAATGAATATGTCAAAATAAAACACAATACCGCCAATAAAATTGAAACGTGACAAAAACATTGCACACAGAACAACAATTAGTGGTAATTTAATTTAGACGGATTATTTATTTCGAACAGACTGACTTGGCATGCTGTCATTTGTCACGAATTTTTTTTTCATTGTTTCACTCTCAGTTTTTGTTATGGGGTTTTATGAACTGGTAACTAAAACCGTTTAGTCAAATCTTATTTTAATTTATATTGATATTTTTATGAAAAATTATAATATGGAGTGAAATGAAATGAAACGAAGATGATTAATTTGAAACATTAATCAACTGGGATGAAATGAAATGAGATGAGATGAGATGATATGGAATGAAATTTATAATCATTTACTGAGATTTTTTCAGTGGACTTTTTGGAGGATCCCGAGAAATTACGTCCAGCGGCTTTGTTTCATTTTCCCGCATTTGTGCACTTTCACAGATAATGAATAGTTAATAAACCACCGTTATTACACATTTAAATCTGAAGAAATACTAAATAGACAAAAACAAATCACACAACTTCACTCCTCGCGTTCCCGCCAAAAAGTCCTACTCTCAGTCATGGAGTTATTAAGTACCTACAACTGGAGTGCTGTCTAATGCCGAGAAATCGGTCTCGAAAGAGAATACTTTTTGGTCGCGGTGTCCTTGTCTAATGTGGTGACCATATAAAATTTATTTATAGGACAAAATTATACACATGCATCAGTTTTGAATTTACCTTAAGTAATTCTGTGTAGCCCTATGTAAATACAAAACACGTGCTTGCAACAGTTTATNGTGGAAAATCCTCTAAGCTAGCTACACTGCTTTTTGTTTGTAAAATGTGCGAGAGGGACACCACCACTTAATAATCATTCTCTTTTCAGACCGTTTTTCCTTACATCTTTTGCTATTTAAAAATAAACTTTAAGCCATAGAGATAAAGTATATTTTTAGTTTTTATGTCAAACCAAGTAAGCACTCCAGTTAGAATAGTAACTCCATGCTCTCAGTTTACTCATATTGCGCGTAGCTGGAACATTCCCTTTTAAGCTACCAGCGAATAGGTAAAGAAAAGCTCTTAAAATCTGTCAATCTTTATTTAGACTTTTTTAATTTCTTTTATCATTACATACTTAATGAAAGTAGGTTCAGTAGGCAGCGGTTTGGCATTGTTGAAGTCTATGGGCGACGGTAACCACTCACCATCAGGTGGACCGTATGCTCGTCTGTCTGGGGTATTAAAAATAAAAAAAGGAAAGACGGACAACGTCACGGATTAAAATTTTAGTAGTAAAGACAAGGTTCAAGACCATACGCAAAAAGGGAATTTATTTGTGTGAATTGTTTATGTTTCCTCAGGTTTAAACATGCAATATCGATGATTTAACTATTTAGATTTGTGAAAATGCACAAATGTGGGAATGTAGCTTAAGACAGCTATATATGGCTTCTCAGTTTTTTCAAAAAGTCCATGTAAATCTTATTGGATAACCACCATTTTACTGAGACTTTGTTTCACCCGAACTCATCTCTTTCATTTAATTTCATAACAAGCGATTACAGTCTCAAATTAATCATATCACCTCATTTCCGTCCATATTATTTTTCATCTAACAAAAATAAATAAAATTAGTATTATAACTAATATGCTTTGATATCTTTGCATTTCTTGTTTAAAAGCTACTACTACTACTGTCAAATGTCAATTCATTTCTTGCTCTAAAGTGCATTGTAAAACTTTGAAGATGGCGTTTAGTTTTCCAGCCTTTGCGTATATTGTTGCCTTAATAACCGATGCATTTTTAATATTTTTCTCTATATTTCACGTTATAGCCTTCGACGAACTAAAAACTGACTACAAAAATCCCATCGATCAATGCAATAGTTTGAATCCTGTAAGTTTATTTATAACCTAAGTTTATGTATTTTTGAATTACCCTCATTTCACGTCTGTTTCAGTTGGTTTTGCCGGAATATTTACTGCATTTGCTCATTAATGTACTGTTCTTGCTGTCCGGAGAATGGTTTTCGTTATTGATCAACATTCCTTTAATGCTATACCACATACACAGGTAAGAAATGCAGACACTACTAATACATACTATTATGTAGTCACACATTAATATTCATGATATAGCATTCTAAAATTGAACAATAGAACTTATTATACATGTATATATAATATATATCCTCTTGTATTCATATTTCATAGCTTTTTAAAGAGCTAACCTTTTTGTAAACTGTCATGTATGAAATCTAAGAAAAAAATTTTTTTTAAAAGGAATAATTTAATTTTTAATGTTGTAGACTCATTTTCAACTTTTCCTTTTTACACTTGATCGATGAGCCTCCAAAAAACAGTAAAATGTAAACTTTAGACAATTTTAATGCTATCTTGGACATCACTAGTAAGGCCTTTCACTATTTTTGCAATATCTCCAATACATCTGGTATGCCACACTTGAAACAGCAACTAGATTATGTTGTTGAGGATTTTAAAGTTACATTATTGGTTATTTTGCATCAATAATTATTTCATCTCAATTCTGTCTAAATTGGCATCAATTTCCCTGCCAAAAGGGCACCCCCCTAGGGATCGTAATTGTTTTATTACAAGAACTAGGTCACAGTGGATCTTGTATTAATTGCTTACTGGAACCTGGAGCAAAGCTACTTCAGTCCAGTGACCCAATTTAACACATGAGGCCCCTATGTTTTAATTCTGTATTATAACACAACAATTAAACTATAGGCATTGCAAAAACAATGTAGTTATTGCTTGTTTGCTTAAAATCTTCACAAATTTGCATTGATATTTTGTTGTTGAGCTTTTGTAAGGTAACATGATATTATTACAAACAAAGTAAATCACTAGTGCAATTGCAATTGCTAGTCCAATCAACTATAGTCATCTGTTATTTATCTATGATTTGTATTTATATAAATATGTATTAGATTTGAATATGAATAATATAATGTATAAATAACATAATTAAAAATTGTTTACAACTCAAATTGTATGTATAAGTATAACTTAACTTCAAACTACAAGTTTCTACAAGTAACAAAAGATTTAATTACAATAATACAACAAATAACAATAAACAAAAAAAAATGTAGTGATAAAATTTCCTAGTAATTAAAATTTAACATCAACTACCTTACTTTCTTAAATAAAGCTATTGAATTGAATTTTAGATTGGTTAATAATTTATTTTGCATTTACAAATTAGTAATTGGTAGATATTAGAATGATAAAAATTAAAACTTTTCTTAGGGGACAGATAACTTGATTAACTATTAATGTTTCAGATACTACACAAGGCCAGTCATGTCAGGTCCAGGCCTGTATGACCCGACAAGTATTATGAATGCAGATGTATTAACTTCATGTCAGAGGGAAGGCTGGATAAAGCTGGCATTTTACTTGCTGTCGTTCTTCCTATATCTTTATGGGTATGTTGAACCAAAATCATTCTTGGTTAGCGACGCTTTAAACAATCTCAATGATTTGAGATCATCCATATTCAACTCCTTGGGATTCAATTGTCAACTTACACACCTTAACCGACGAATTTAGAGAGGTGCAAAAAGTGCATACATAACAACCAAACATCATGAATATTCTGACGATTAAGCTTTATCAAAGGACAAAATTTAAACTAGATGGTACAGTATAAAGTTACTGCCTGCCTCTATCTGATACTGTCCTCTGCTTATTCCTAAATCACACAAGTAATTGTTAAAGTTTTTTCTAAAAGAAAAAAACCCTTTTATTGACATTGCATTGGACTGTCATAGTCATCATACTTTTTGTACACTTACACAATGCTGCCCAAATCTAAAGTTTGCATGTAATCTAAATAGTGTATTCTACACTGGAAATATCTTGTCAAAAAGCTACTAAGAAAAAAATCACAGAAAAAACATTTTTGTATTGTTTATTTATTTCAAGCATAGGCAAATAAATTAGCTCACGGCCCATTTGCTGTTAAGCACACTCTGTCCATCTATCCATTCTTTTTGTAATTCGTTTTTAAGATTTGACAATCTGATCGAGATAGGAACTTTATTTTCGGTTGTTTTTATCCATTTTCCAAGCTTACTCCGTATATGCTTAAATATGTCGAGCTGGCTAGCCACCCTATTAAATTATAAATGCGTTTTCCAGAATATGTGGATGTCTATTATTCATTGAGTTCATTTGCAGTAATAATTCCCCCTTAATACGAGAAACAAAATTTAAAGCAAAGAATTAAATCTAAATTCAAAAGTAGGCAAAATTTTATTGCAGTATAAAAAAATAAAATATTCTGCAAACATTAATAACAACAAACAAATAACCTGACAAATCGGTTTTAACTATTTGTCGACAAGTAGCATAAATGTTACATTATTAGTTTCCAAAAATTGTAATTCATAACATTCCCACAGTCCTACATGTTTGCTCGAGTCATGCATTCTAGTTTAAAGTCAGTTTTCTCATGGTAGGCGCTAGCATTCTCGTTTCCATATCTTGGGGGCTCTAATGAAAACTCCACAGCATCCAGCAAGCGGCATCAAAAATTGTTTTTTTATCAACCAATTAGAATTATTTTTAACAGATTATAACAACTCTGAACCTTTGTTTACAAAAATTCTGTCAGCTGAATGTAATGTTGATTTATGTATATGCTTTAAATAGAGGAAGACGATAAACTTTGTGAGCAGAAGTTTTCAATATATCTTTTCATTTCAGAATGATCGTGGTGTTGATCGCGGCGTAAGCAAGTGTTAATAATAGTGAATAGGATACTCCAATAAGTCCACTAATTTATTGTTTAATTAGAACAAAACTCTTGTATTATGAATGTGACTGTCGTCGGTTATATGAATGTGGTGAATTCGTGAAATAAAATAAATTTTAAATGGTTCTTTTGTTTTTTTTTCTGCCACCATAAAGTAGATTTATTAATAAAATGTTGCTGTTCCAAATTCAACTCGTATAGGGAAAAAATAACCGCGTTTTCAGTTGCTAGTTTCCATCAATTTTATTAATAAGGCAAAAGGGATATATTATTATGTAAGATGTGATGTTTTGTTTTTTATTGCTGAGATGTGTGGACTGTGGACGAGCTGATGCTAATTGTTACCGGAACCCATAGACATAAATTATACATATAAATTATTTAGATATCTACAATATAAATGCCGCCACTCATCTTGAGAAATGAGTTCGAATGTCTCACAAGATCAGAATCATAAAGATGATTCAAGCGTGACGTCTGCAGCTCTAACACTAGAACAGGTATAGGCATAGAACAGGTATAGGCATAAAACAGGTATTAGCATAGAACAGGTATATTAGCATAGAACAGGTATATTAGCATAGAACAGGTATATTAGCATAGAACAGGTATATTAGCATAGAACAGGTATATTAGCATAGAACAGGTATATTAGCATAGAACAGGTATATTAGCATAGATCAGGTATATTAGCATAGAACAGGTATATTAGCATAGAACAGGTATATTAGCATAGAACAGCTATATTAGCATAGAACAGCTATATTAGCATAGAACAGCTATATTAGCATAGAACAGCTATATTAGCATAGAACAGCTATATTAGCATAGAACAGGTATATTAGCATAGAAAAGGTATAGGCATAGAACTCAAAAGAAGAACTCGAAGAAAGATATAGACATACTCTAGTCTTTTCCATTTTTCTATACGGAGCGGAGACCTGGACCCTTAAAGCAGCTGATCGCAAACGTGTGGATGGTTTTGACATGTGGTGCTGGAGAAGAATGCTCTGGATACCTTGAAAAGCGAAGAGAAGCAATCTGTCTATCTTACATCAACTGCAGATCAAGACTAGACTGTCCACACTCTGCCTTCGCCGCGCACTCGAGTACTTCGGTCATATTGCTCGGAAAACACCGGATAGCTTAGAGAGACTATTCGTGACAGGGAAGATCGAGGGAAAGAGACCGCGCGGGCGCAGTCCGACAAAGTGGTTCGACCAAATCCGCACCACACTAGAGATCCCATTCCACGACGCCCTTCATGCGGCCAATGACCGGAGGCGCTGGCAGGACATTACAAGGAGCAAAATTCTGTCGACATATAATGGTCACGACCCTCAGCAGTGAGGAAACGACGCGAGGAGGGAGGCATAGAATAGGTATAGGCATAGAACAAGATATAAATATAAAACAGGTATAGAAACCCTCGTAACCGTACTTGTTGAACTTTTCGTAGAGTTTGACGTGATACGTAATCCATAACATTATTAATAGTTGTTACTATTCCGATTTCGTTCAAACAAACAAAATCACAATATTCATTCTAATGTTAATTTACTTATATTACCTATACGTAATTCACCTATATATACAAAGTGTGCATGCAGTTGTTGACCTGCGATAAATTCAATTCAATTCCTAGATACTTCAACAAATCTAATCTAATCAAATATTGAATGAACAAATAAAAATGTATTTTATATAGTGGGTTTATAAAATACTGCCTACATCTTAAGAAACCATCAATATCGAAAGATAAGATACGACTATATTCATTTAAGGTGTAGTCTGATCTGTTACGTTTTTTGTTGCAACCAGACAAACGACCAACCTGTGTGCTTAGTGCGAGTTTTTTAACGTTCTCGATAACGTAAAAGTTAGCTCATATTTGTATGGAATGGGATCGTTTGCGTACGTTTGCCGCTAGGGGCGCTGTTGCAACTGCATACAAAATTGGCTTAACTTTTACGTTATTGAGAATGTTGTGAAATTCGTACTAAGCACATTTTTTTTTTCCTACCTAAGCTGATAGCCCTAGTGGCTATTTCAGCGTAACCCTAACTTTAGTAGGTGAGCTCACGGGGCTCAAACCTGATGACGTTGCTAACACGAACCCTAGCAAGAGCCGTGCTTCGCAGAATCTACCACTGGATCGGAAACGCGACCCACTGAGAAGACCCGGCGAGAAACTCAGTGGGCTGTGTCTGAGAGTTAATTTACTCGTCGAGCCCTTCGTCGCAAGCGACGGGTTCGACGAGAACGGTGACCGGTGCTTGAAGTACCTAAAAGCACCGTTAGTGGATCGGGAGGATCCGAGATGACGTGTTTTGGGCGACGTCGACTGCTTTCCATTCTGTCCGCAGGATCGGGAATGTAGTTACCGGCNTTAGCATAGAACAGGTATATTAGCATAGAACAGGTATATTAGCATAGAACAGGTATATTAGCATAGAACAGGTATATTAGCATAGAACAGGTATATTAGCATAGAACAGGTATATTAGCATAGAACAGGTATATTAGCATAGAACAGGTATATTAGCATAGAACAGGTATATTAGCATAGAACAGGTATATTAGCATAGAAAAGGTATAGGCATAGAACAGGTATATTAGCATAGAACAGGTATTAGCATAGAAAAGGTATAGGCATAGAACTCAAAAGAAGAACTCGAAGAAAGATATAGACATACTCTAGTCTTTTCCATTTTTCTATACGGAGCGGAGACCTGGACCCTTAAAGCAGCTGATCGCAAACGTGTGGATGGTTTTGACATGTGGTGCTGGAGAAGAATGCTCCGGATACCTTGAAAAGCGAAGAGAAGCAATCTGTCTATCTTACATCAACTGCAGATCAAGACTAGACTGTCCACATTCTGCCTTCGCCGCGCACTCGAGGACTTCGGTCATATTGCTCGGAAAACACCGCATAGCTTAGAGAGACTATTCGTGACAGGGAAGATCGAGGGAAAGAGACCGCGCGGGCGCAGTCCGACAAAGTGGTTCGACCAAATCCGCACCACACTAGAGATCCCGTTCCACGACGCCCTTCATGCGGCTTTGGGAATATACGACGAAAGGAAAGATCTTCCACCGAGCGGGTGATATTGCTCGGTAGACCGACGGTCCGAATGTTGTTGTTCGGAACTTGTATATATGCGCTTTTATCTTGAAAATGTCGTAAGCGAGATTCAGGCATCTGTCAATTATCTTGCGTTGTATGATGGCTACCCGCCACATTACTCCCCTCCGAGACTGGAGGTCGTGTCATTTTTAGTTAGCGTTGTCCGTGCTGAGATTATCTTGCAAGGGCCAGTGCTGCTCGAAGCCTGCGGTGAGTCGAGGCTGAGCTTGAATGCTGCGTGCGTGTCGCCGGTGCTGCTTGAAGTTTGCAGTGAGTCGAAACTGAGCTGAATGCTGCGCGATTGTCGCCAGTGCTGCTCGAAGTCTGCGGTGAGTCGAGACTGAGCTTGAATGTTGCGTGCGTGTTGTGCGTAGTCCATGTGATGCAGAGCTGCCACGCCGGAGATGTGTGACCCCAAGCGTTGATGATCCGGTCGTGGGCTTTGATGAACTGTAGCGGCGTGATGAGACAGTGAAGTTGCGTGCCGTAGGACCAGGAAGCGCGGTGAGTCGGCTGCGATGGTCCTGTTGAGGCTTGCTGTGGGACGACTGTCAATGACGTGCTTTTATCTGCGAGAATGCGGGGATTGTGGTAGCCGAAGTTCTTGATGCGCTGATGATGAATCAGAAGGTTGCGTGTTCACATCACGCGCAGGTCACCAGTTTGGGAAAATATACGACGAAAGGAAAGATCTTCCACCGAGCGGGTGATATTGCTCGGTAGACCGACGGTCCGAATGTTGTTGTTCGGAACTTGTATATATGTGCTTTTATCTTGAAAATGTCGTAAGCGAGATTCAGGCATCTGTCAATTATCTTGCGTTGTATGATGGCTACCCGCCACACGGCCAATGACCGGAGGCGCTGGCGGGACATTACAAGGGGCAAAATCCTGTCGACATATATAATGGTCACGACCCTCAGCAGTGAGGTAACGACGCGAGGCATAGAACAAGATATAAATATAAAACAGGTATAGAAACCTTCGTAACCGTACTTGTCGAACTTTTCGTAGAGTTTGACGTGATACGTAATACATAACATTATTAATATTTGTGTATTTCGATAGATTTTCTCAGAGTGCTACTATTCCGAATTCGTTCAAACAAACAAAATCACAATATCGACGCTTATGGACGTTAGCAATGCTAGCTGCACAGCCTAATGCTAGGGATTCCTTAAAGCTCGTTTGAAGAAAGACATTATATAATAGTGGAGAACACAATAGAGGAGAGTTCTTTCCAAAGATCGTAAGTTGTATGTTTTATAGCTTCAAATTGTTTTTCGTTTTATCTAAATTCGTTCATTATTTTTTATTTTATATCTTTTTTATGGCTCTAGACACACATAAGATTGGGTTTTGTCCCTCCTATTATTAGCTAGATTATGTTAGCTTCACGGAAGGTGTAGGCAAGCTCACGAAGTTCAGCCTTGGCGACTTTGCTAGTTTGCCCTTGCGAACGTAGTGTTTTGCTGAATCAACCATCGGTTCAAAATTGCGACCCGCTGAGAAGATCCGGAAAAACTAAGGGGGCTGTGTCTGTGGGCGCACATAAGACGAATTCTCGACCGAATTGAAATGGTAACCGAAGTTCACAGATATCGTAATGTAATAACGCAGATAAAACCACCAAACACATGAAAGTTTCGATTATTATTATAGTCTATCTTTCAATCCGAAACGCGTGTTTGCTTCGTGGCATAAACAAGAAAATTGTTCATATTGTCGTACGTTATGTGTCATAATACAACGGTTTTTAAAAATAACGTATAGTTAATTTTCTTATATATTTAAATGTACCCAATATTTGATTAACTTCAACATTATTATAAACATCTATGAGATAGATCAAAAATTACATTTTTACATTTGACACCTTTATTGGAAACCGTTATCATATAACCGTTACCGTATAAACACCGTTATCTGGAAATATGAAGTTAGCGCTGAGGAAGGCACCCTTGTTGGAAACGTACTGAATGTGAAGTGGATTCTCCATATGATCTGTTTCATAAGTACAATTTATTTTTTCTATTATGTATACACTAATTTAAAGAATACTGGTGGCCCGGAGGCCTTTACAGTTTCACCAGGATAGGTGGGCGAGCAAAAGAAAAAAAAAAGCAAGAAGACATGGATGGAGTGTGTGAATGGCGATATGAGAGAGAGAGGAGTGAGTGTTGAGATGACGGCTGATAGAAGAGAATGGAAGAGAAAAATTAGCTGTGCCGACCCCACCTAGTGGGATAAGGTGGGGAAAAAAGAAGAAGGTGGGCGAGCAAAGGCTCAGCCAGGAGGGGAGCAAAGTCTCAGCCAGGAGGTGATACTAAGCTACATATCCTTGCGGTGTTTCAATATTCAGAAGAATTTGTTACATCAAAGAAGGAAACATAAAAGTCTACGTTCAACCAAATCATAATAAATCACGTTTTATCGACTATATTATTATTTGGTTTCGACGTTTATAAATTGGATATCAGTTTTATTAGTGGCGGATGAAAGGCGATTGCATGCAGCAGAGATGCGAATGTTGCGATGGATCTTTGGAGTAACGAGAATGGATAAAATACGGAATGAATATGTTAGAGGAAGTCTGAAAGTGGCACCTGTGACAGAGAAGCTGAGGAGTGCACGTTTGGGATGGTATGGACAAGTGATGAGACGAAATGAAAATGAGGTTGTTAAGAGAGTGTTAACTATGAATGTGGAAGGATTTAGAGGAAGGGGTAGACCTAAGAAGAAATGGATGGATTGTGTGAAAGACGATATGGGTAGGAGGGGAGTGAGCGAAGAAAAAATATGATAGAAGAGTATGGAAGGAGAAAACATGTTGCGCCGACCCCAGGTGACTGGGAGAAGGGCAGGATAATGATGATAGTGTACAACTATGCCCAAGATGATTAGGTGAGGTTACATCAATGCATTCAACAAGTGCAGCACAACCTAATTCAATTCTAGATGGATCTAGAAAATCCCTTGCTCATTCACTGTAAATTTTCTCTTGTATTTTCTTGGTACCGTTACTCTTTTTTTTTATTATAGCCCTTGTATGCAGACGAGCATACGGCCCACCTGATGGTGAGTGGTTACCGTCGCCCATGGACTTCGGGAAACACCGTGGAGGGGAGCTCATTTCATAGACGGATGGTACGTGGCAAAAAATACCTCTGGAAACGCACTGTCGATGAACGCAGCGGTTCCAGATAATATGGATGAACTCTGCTCCGATGGCGGGAGGTGCGATGATAAAAAGGAGATGAGGGGATCCGTGATCCATACTCAAATTATGAAATGTCATTTTCACATCTAGATGTGAAATTTCTGGCGCACGTTTCTGGCGACCATATCCTGACCGGGGAAATCTGGAAGAGCACTCTAAACTAAACGGAATACATTATCTATTTACTAAACTAAGCATGAATACATTTAGTATCAGCTTATTCATATTTTGAAAAACGATATAACGCGAAACAGTTGGCAACCGTCCTTAACAAACAATGCATAACTATATTTTCGTAAATCGTTTGATTTTTGTATTCTGTTACATTAGGTAATAATATGAATGAAACATTCGTGACACTTTGTGTGCGCTAAACTATTCTACTTACGACCTCTATTAACCCTTCCACGCATAAATTGTTTAAGGTTACAACCAAATTCAGTAAAATGCAGGTACGTATTAATCTATATGACCATTAAGTTCAAAATAGTAAAAATTAAACAATTTATAAATTTTCATACTTCACAGAGCATTCGAGAGTACCTAACAGCATTCGTCGGACATGGAGAACTTTTGGGCATCACAGAAGCAATAACAACTGACAGGCCCATGTTGGTGGTACCATTATTTGGAGACCGACATCTGTGTGCTTAGTTGTAGTCTTGGTGAAATCTGTGATTATAGAAGTATAATAATCTTTTCCAATAAAATCATAAAAGTGTTCAAACTTATAATTTCAATTAATTATAGTCCAATTTCGACTACCAAGGGACCACTAGTACCTAAGTAAAAAAAAGCCACGCAAGTCTGACTCGTCAGTTGTCAACAGACTTGAGTAATTAAAGAACATCTCTGCTGTTGAGTCTAATTGCGAAACGTTGATTCGAATATAATTTTGCATAGAATGCGAACACCATTGTCTCAAATTCTGCAGCTGAAAATGCGGTAACATTTATGCACATGCAGCAAATTAAAGAAACCACATCAATACGAACAAAAGTTAAATGACCTCTGAATAATGAAATAGAGTGATTGCACCTTTTTGTGTGTTAATTTTACGGCCGCGTAGTTCTTTCATTTATAAGGTAATGTTACGCGCTGAGGGTTCGGGATAAATAAAATTTCACCACAAAGTACAACTAAAAACTGTATTCAACACTTAGAACACTTAAACACTTCACAAACATTTTAAAACACTCAACAAACACTTAAAAACTCTCAATTCGCTTGTTCCGCTTCGCTTCAGGTGATCCGTTCGCTGTTTCGCTTCGAGTAGCTCCGATTACTGACTGATTGCGTGCCCTCTCTACAACGCTTTTATAGCCGATACCTCATCCCTAGAATTATCGAGAATATTCTACACATCTCTAGTAGTAGTTTCCGCTATCTGACAATAGATGGCGTTGTAATCCTCGATCATTCTGGGTCCCTCGACGTTCGTTCGACTATTCGGCGATAGATGGCGTCACTCTTACCGGCGTAATATGAAAAAGTGTTACAATTAAGCCTTCAACCACGTGTCTTAAAGTGGGGGACTGTTCATACATTAATTAATTCACTCATTCACGTAACGATGTCTGTGTCAATCCAAATAGTATGGAGAGTAGAAGTAAGAAGCGCCATCTCAGTATATTAAAAAGTGTCCGCTGCAAGGGCGCCAATTAAGGTGGCGCCACAGTAACAAGTGGAAAGATATTAAAAAAAGCGCCATAAACTAGTAGAGTAGCACACTAAATTAAGAAGGAAAGAAACACTTCATACGTAAATAGTACTAAAAATAAGTAGTTGAGATTTTAAATTTTGCATATTTTTTAACTACACATGTCTCGAAAAATATTAAATTTTTCAACCCAGCACACTTCACTTTGCCATTCCTATATTTATATCATTTCCATTTCCTACACTAACGTTATTTCATTGATCTTCCAACAATAATTTGCTCTTTACATGTGGACACTTTTTCAACTTGTCCACGATACAAGATGTTGCTCCTTATTTCTACCCTCCATACCAAATAGGACCTGATGTCGTCCAATGCACTCAAAACAGGACTTACGCATTTTTTTAAACTATTACTAATACTATAAATAACTAATTGTAAAATAGTATCCTTTTAAAGACCAGCTAATCTAAGAAGTATAAGCCGAAATATCTCGTATTCATCATATCGTAGTCTAGAGTGAAACTCATTACGGAGTAAAAAAAAATTGCGGCACCGTGACCTGTGTTTAGTTTTCGAGTTACGTTGAAAATTAGCATTTCAAACACGTGTAAAAATAGTATCCTAATGAAAAGTTCCAACAAAAAACTGTGATGGCTAGATAAGGAAGTAATAGAAAAAAACGTGTCGATATGTTTTTTCCCATGAACATTACGTCATGGATGCTGTCACTCACCTTGAGGCTTGAAGTATAAGCGTCGATTTGGTAAAATAGATGCTGTCCCACACTTCATATAAGACGGTGTGTACTGGTTCACAGCCGAAATAGGCAAGGCGGCATAGGTATGCCATGCGAGCCAACAATGCAATCAATCAAATCAAATTACTAATATTAGAACATCACGAATTCTAAATATTGCATCTGGTCAATTAGGTCATGGACGCCTCAAACCATGGTAACTTGAAAATTTGAAAAATATGTCATAAACGTTACGTCATGGCATTTTACTTCTCTTTTGTTATGAAGAAAATATGTTATTTACTAAATCATGTTACATAATACCTACCTACCTATACCTACTTTTATTATGTAGGTACCTACCGTTTCATTGAACTTTACAGTACACGGAAAACATTCGTGTCGAAAATATCGCTGTCTCGTTGAAGACAGCGTCTGTGCCAACAAAAAAATCGCTTCACTCTCATGCATCAACGTTTTTATATAATTTTACATACAGTTTATCTAATCATTCCGAGCTTCGCAGTTCGCTATGCGTGCCGTGCCATTTCATTACATTCTGCTCGTGTTTATAAAAGATGTGTTGCCGGCTAGAATTCTCGGTCTGTTCCCTCATATCGGAAAAAGTCATCAAATGGCATACGATCCTTTGTTACGAAGATTGGCTGAGAGAGGACACGATGTCACCGCCGTAACATTCTTTCCCTTGAAAAATCCACCGGAACATTACAGAGCAGTCAGCCTGGAAGGACTCACCGAAATCAGAGTTGAAAGTATTAACATGTCAATCTATGAGGGACACAATGTTTTCCTTCGACTTACTGGATTGGACAGAATTCGATCACACATTAGTGAAAATCACCCGTTGGCAGACTTCGCTTTAGATACGTGCTCGAAGTTAGTGAGTTTTAAGCCTTTATCAGAACTACTTAAGAAAGAATACGATGTGATATTAACGGAAAATTTCAACAGCGACTGTATGCTAGGTCTCGCAAATGTTTATGGACAGAAAGCGCCTATTGTTTATCTGTCGTCGTGCACTGCAATGTACTGGGCTCTGGACCGGTTCGGAGTAACGGATAATCCGTCATACGTGCCCCTTGTCAGTTCAATATTTACCACCCCAATGACATTCCTACAGAGATTAGAGAATGCCGTGCTTAATGTATATTTCAAAGTCTGGTTCCGATACGCGATTCAGCTTAGAGAACAAAAAATAATTGAGGAACATTTCGGTAGAAAGATACTCGATCTTCAAGAGATGGCGAAGAATGTGTCTTTGATGTTAGTGAACGCGCACCACAGCTTGAACGGTGTTCGACCTTTAATCCCTGGTATCGTGGAAGTAGGCGGCATGCACTTGGATAAAACAAGGAGACCTATATCACAAGTAAGCGAATGAACTTAATTATTAAAGCATCAAATGTATTACGCTTTGACTTATCTGATATGCTATTGCCAAGGTATTATTTTTATTGCTTACTAGCTGACCCGGCAGACTTCGTGGTGCCTCAACCGATAAATAAAAGACCTAAACTTTTGTATAAAATAAACTTAAAACAAACAAAAGGAATCCGTCCGACGGGGAAGACATCAAAGGAAAAACAAAATTGTTATTTTTATTTAATTCCAAGCATTTTTATATTTATTNTATCTGATATGCTATTGCCAAGGTATTATTTTTATTGCTTACTAGCTGACCCGGCAGACTTCGTGGTGCCTCAACCGATAAATAAAAGACCTAAACTTTTGTATAAAATAAACTTAAAACAAACAAAAGGAATCCGTCCGACGGGGAAGACATCAAAGGAAAAACAAAATTGTTATTTTTATTTAATTCCAAGCATTTTTATATTTATTTACCTTTTAAACCTTCTCTGGAATTCCACAAATTATTCAAGACTAAAATTAGGCAAATCGGTCCAGCCGTTCTCGAGTTTTAGCGAGACTAACGAACAGCAATTCATTTATATACATATATAGATAGATATCGTTGGACGAGCTCACAACCCATCTGATTGATATAATTACTATACCAAATTCGTTGAGACTTATAGGTACAACAATTTTATCTGAGCAGCACAAAATACATTTTAAAGATACAGAGTTTCAACTAGATCAAACAAATAAAGCACGAACGCACCGAGCAAACAAACAAATGTACCTACTTGCTTGTGCATTGGAAACGTGTAAATGGCCGATAAGGTATCCTACGGATTCTTCTGCGATAAATTGTTTGTAAATGCAACAAATACAGGGTGTGTGATACAACCAAACCTGAAACCGAATAGGAGATATATATTAAACAAGTATATATTAATCTAAGCTGAATATATACAACATATGCATAGCTAAAAATAATACTATTAACTTCATACATCGTGGACCTATCTCAATTTGAAAGACAATTAATATGGGGGTCATATGAGTGTTATTTTCTTCGTAAGTTTAAAATAATACCTACTATCCCGGTTTCGACTTGAAAAGAACCTAAAAGAAATTAGACTCAAAATGGTTTATCAAAAACGTTTCAACCGTGATTGTGTGATATAAACTCAAATACAGTTTCACTACATAACTAATTTGCCCAGAAGTTTATCTACATTACCTACTTATTTTATTATAAGTGTATCACAATTTATTACGTTATATATAATGCTTAGTTTGAACTTTATTTATCTTAATCCTGTTTAGTTTTAATTTAGAATACCGGTCATAATCATTTAATCGGATATTCTACTGATAATGGTCGTGCCAACTTAAGAAGTTGATATTATTCAAAGGTTTTTTTGTCTACGCCAAAGGAGTACAGCCCATAGATTATGCTACGTTAAACGCCAATTATGATTATTATACTTCTGCAACTTTATCGTCTTGCTTATTCATTTAAATCGTTACACTAGCAAACTTGACACTAATACAAAATATGACAGATCAGAAGGGCGCTAAATTAAGAGTCAGACTAAGAGTTTTCTTAGCTGAGAGATTAACATCAACAGAGACAATCAACAAGGAGCAGGGCTGGGCTCCGTCCAATTATGAGCGAAAACACTTGGATAGGTCATAAATGCAAGTGTTTTCGCTCATGCGGATCGCACCCACATTGACTCCCTTCAATCACTTCAGTCCTGTTTCTGCAGGATAGCCGTCGGGGCGCTGTGGTTCATGAGGAACAACAATTTGGACTTTGAACACACCACGAAACACTTAAAATCCGCGTCGGATACAGCGATGTAAGGCCTTATGGCTGCCGCGAGTTATGCCCCTGATCCGGCTCATGTGTGACTTAATTACAATCGACCCACTCTATTCATTTACATTTATTGTTAACTTTTGAATCTAGCGCTAGGATTTCACAAGTCGACGTACTCGTCGAGCGCTTCGAATAGTTCGCCGTGCTACTTAGCTCATAGCATCTGCCCGCTGAGTTCCTCGTCGGATCTCCTCAGTGGGTCGCAATTCCGATTCTTGGATTTGTAGTTTGAGGCGATAACGTTTGGCTTCAAGCTGTAAACAACACCGCCTTACCTCTGACTACCCTACATTTTCGAACGTTATACGGTAAACGTATTACTTACCCATAAATGATCTATATAACCTATAGGATCTAAAGCTCGTAAATGATCAAATTGTTTGTCAAATTTTATGTGTTTGTCAAATTATTTGACAGTATGCAGCTTTGTTTGACGTGTTTGTCAAACAGTCTACATGTCTGACGTATTTGATGGAAATTTGATTGACGGCGTGTTTGACAAACAAATTTGAACGTGTATGAGGGTGTTTATCAAACAAGATCTCAGTTGTTGCACGACACAACGCAACGTCTCGTTACAGCAAGGAGAAAACCGAATCTACGGGCAAGTTAACAAACTTGTTTGATCTTTGGTTTGATTGTTTAAGCTATTGTTTGATGAAAACGTAAAGTTTGACAAACAAATTTGATCGTATACAGGGTGCTATAGAGGGTTATTATATGATTTAGGACCTTTTTATTTATGTAAATCAGAAATTACGGATCGAATAATAAAATTTAAACCTACATTCAGTTACGTTTGTTTTCATTCGTAAAACGTGCTAATTAATTATTATATGAAGTGTTCGCGACAGAACTTATAACCCGGCCAGATAAGTAGGTTACAGACGCAATATAATATATGTTTTATCAGTATTTTAAAATACATAATATTGACTAAGTCGGTATCAAACCTAAATCACTATATGTACACTCGTGATGTGCAATGACTTGACTTAATTGATATGAATATTTGTTTAAGTCATCTTTCCAAATTTACTTCGGACTTCGTCGACTCCTGATACTGGTAAATTCGTCGTAACCTTAAAGATAACGAGCCTGATGTGAGTGCGATATTTGTATTCAAATATCGCAGACAGATACCAATTTTTCCAAAAAAATACCTACATTCTTCATTCACGAATGAATTATATAATTCACGAATAACTTACACGATGAAGGAATAACATCTTGTGGTATTAAAAATATACGCAGGTTTTTATTTTATTTTATTTTTATTGCATAGATGGGTGGACGAGCTCACAGCCCACCTGGTGTTAAGTGGACACCGGAACCCATAGACATCTACAACGTAAACGCCGCCAACCACCGTGAGATATGAGTTCTAAGGTCTCAATATAATTACGACGGCTGGCCCACCCTTCAAACCGAAACGCATTACTGCTTCACGGCAGAAATAGGTAGGTACGGGTATACGTTTCTGCTAAACAAAACACAAACCACCCTTCAAAAGAAATAATTGAAAACTTGCACAGTCTCGAAGCCCGAAGCTGCTCTCGAACGAGTCGCAGACATAATACCAATCGACCATACTTACATACATACATTATATATACATTAACTTACTTACATACCATACTCGGCATGACTTAAATGAAAGTGTAACTTTTTATGTATAAATATATTACATACAAATAAATACACATGCCAATGTTTAAAATAAATAGCCTATTTTTAGAAAACTACGTTATAATAGAATAAGATGTGACTATTACGATACGTAGCTGTACCTACACGCATTAATCACGTAATATACAAGCTGAAAATAAACGTCGCGTCGCCCAGTAGTCGATCACTTTGTGACCGGAGCGTAGGTATCTTCTCGTGAATGTACTTCCAAGACCAGCCGAGATACAAACAGTGCTGTTAGCTTTATAATCAGTGCTTCAGTAAACTCAGTGGGGAACGCATCGCCATGCGAGCTCACATCGCGTGCATCGTGCTGATCGCACACGCAGTCGCGTCCGCGAAAATATTAGGCCTTTTCCCGCACACAGGCAAAAGCCATCAAATGGTGTTCGACCCTTTATTGAGAAGATTGGCGGAGAAAGGCCACCATGTTACTGTAGTATCATTTTTTCCCGTCAAAAATCCCCCAGCAAATTACACGAACATCAGCCTCGAGAGCTTAGCCAAATTAGGAGTTGAAACGATTGATTTGTCCTGGTATGAAAGCTCGAACTCCATACTCAAGATGACGGGACTGGAAAAAATATATGAAGAATTGACAGCGATGCAGCCGCTATCTTATATGGCCGTGGATGTGTGTTCCAAATTAGTTGGCTTCGAACCTTTGGCACGAACCTTGAGGCAGGATTACGATGTCATTTTAGTGGAGAATTTCAACAGTGACTGTATGCTGGGCCTGGCACATATATACGGTCAGAAAGCGCCAATTATAGCCTTATTATCAAGCTCGTTAATGGATTGGTCTCCGAGTCGTATTGGGGTATCAGATAATCCATCATACGTACCTATAGTCACTTCTACGTTTACTACCCCTATGTCGTTCGTGCAAAGATTGAAGAACACAGTTTTAAATATTTACTACAAGCTGTGGTTTCGTTACGCGATCCAATTGAAGGAGAAAGAAATAATTGAGAACCATTACGGTAGAAAGATCGTTGACCTCGAAGAATTAGCGAGAAATACGACANGGGTATCAGATAATCCATCATACGTACCTATAGTCACTTCTACGTTTACTACCCCTATGTCGTTCGTGCAAAGATTGAAGAACACAGTTTTAAATATTTACTACAAGCTGTGGTTTCGTTACGCGATCCAATTGAAGGAGAAAGAAATAATTGAGAACCATTACGGTAGAAAGATCGTTGACCTCGAAGAATTAGCGAGAAATACGACATTAATGTTTGTTAACGTGCACCACAGTTTCAACGGTGTCAGACCTTTATTGCCCGGTATAGTAGAAGTGGGTGGCATGCATTTGGATCACAAAAGAAAGCCCATTCCAGAAGTGAGTATTATAGACTCTAAGCACAAAGTTATATTACGATGCATGATACAGCAATACAAGTAATGTAAGCAAGGTAAATATCAGAAATGCGGTATGTTTAATTGCCGATTCGTGGTGTAGTGGTTAGCGCCCCTGAATGTTGCGCCGTGGGTCGTGGGTTCGATTCTCACTTCGCGCAAACAGTGATGAACAGGTTTCTTTACTCTTTGTCTGGGTGTTTATTATCTATGTATATATTTAAACATATATAAGTATTTTTATAAGTCTCTAGAACCCATGACATCTCCTCCTCCTTTTTTCCCTACCTATTTCCTACCTATTCTAGTAACCTCGAGGGTTTATTCAAGATTCACCGAACTAGTAGATGAGCTCACGGGGCTCAAACTGTCGACGTCGTTGCTAACACTAACCCTAGCAAGAGCAGTGCTTCGCAAAATCTACCACCGGATCGGAAACACGACCCACTGAAGAGATCCGGCGAGAAACTCAGTGGACTGTGTCTGTGGGTTAATTTACTCGCCGAGCCCTTCGTCGCAAGCGACGGGTTCGAAGAGAGCGATGACCGGTGCTTGGGGTACCTGAAAGCACCGTTAGTGGATCAGGAGGATCCGAAATGACATGTTTGTAGGTACAAATTTAGGAGTACAATGAGGAGATCCTCATTGCGTCGATAATCCTAAATTGGAGCGGGATGACCATGATTATTTCCCAGCTATTTATTATTTATTGTAATTGAACGAAGTTTACAAGGAATGTATTATTATCTAAGTCTGCAAAATTTATCACAAGGCTGTTTGGTAAAGTTGTGATAACTATGCTCGCGAATACTGACGCCTACCTCAGGTTAGGCCGTTACCAGAACAGATTTTTTCACGATATTTGCAGTAAAGTTAATATCAAACTGAAGACCGAAGTCATAATAGTATAAATACAGTTATAAATAAAAACTGTTGCGGGTATGAAATTATTTTTTGTTGGACTAATTGTTGAGTAGATTCTGAACTCATCAGAGCTTGAATGTCATGCTATGCTTATGATCGAAGACTCAGTAACGTTGTCTAAAAGATATCCACCTTTTCGAAACAGCGTTATTTCTCCACAATAAAAATAAGTAGGATAGAAAATAGAATAGATAGAAAATAGATAAAAAAAATAGACAGAAGAAATAGATAGAAAATAAGTAGGAGAGGAAGTAGTACACGCGTTGGACTCACATCACGTTCGTTCACAATAAGAATAACAATATTTAATCTCGAACAAATTTAAAAATACCGTTTCCCAGTCAAGCTCAACCTGTATCGCAGAAGACCCATATTCAGTTTTTTTATTTTTTTTTTTACCTGCATGCCATTTGTCACATTTATTCGAACTAGGAAATAGAATAACAAATATAAATAGGATTGTTTTGCGGTTTTAGCGAGCCGTAGATATAACTATAAGTACTTTTACGACTCATTCTCGCAACCACCGCGTCAGTCATGACCGCGACATTGTCATCCGAAACCGGAGTATAGTTCATCCATAATTATCTAGAACCACGCGTTCATCCACAGTGCGTTTCCAGAGTTATTTTCTGCTATGCACCATCCGGAATCAAGTGTGTCCACGGTGTTTCGCGAGTGCTATGACATGTCCTTCTTCAAACGAGGCTTGTGGAGAGTACGCAGCAGTTTGGTTCTGCTTCTGACATTACTCACGTCCACGACTACGGTTACCAGTCGCAATCAGGCGTGCCGTATGTTCTTCTACCTATAATAATAATAATAATAATATAATGATCAACCACATAATGCAATAGTTAGCCAACCCCAAGAAACCGTGACATTTACTTGACCGAGTCCGTAAATGTCACTAAAGTATTACCAGCATAAGCTGAGAAGTTAAAAATTTAAAAAAAGAATAATAATAATAATAATAAGAATCTGGAAAATTAACAAAGTCTACATTGTACCACTGGTGCTATCCAGTACAGGCGTTATACCTAAACACCTACTCCAATCTTTAAAAATATTAGACACTAGCGACCCGCCCTCGCTTCGCTTCGGAAACACACACATATGAAACCAAAAAAAAAAAAAAAATTAAAAAAGTAGCCTATGTTCATCAGGGACAATGTCGGCTTCTAATGGAAAAAGAATTTTTCAAATCGGTCCAGTAGTTTCGCAGCCTATTCGAAACAAACAAACAAATCTTTCCTCTTTATAATATTAGTATAGATAGCAGAGAACACGTACATGACCATGCAAAAAGCCGCAATATTAAACATATGCCGTATAGTCCGTCAATTCTTGCAGGAAGACTTAAATATTCTGCAAGTAGAAAATGAAGCTCACTTGGCATAGGCCCGTGATCTTCATTATACCGAAATATCTTAAGTATTTCGAGAAACACAATACAAAAATAATAATAATAAAGCCCATTTATTTCTAATCCATAATAATATCGTTATTACATGCGATTTAATATATACTAGGGTAGAATTTCTTTAATTTTCTTTTACTCGCTATCGTTATTTTCTTCTGTACCATCGATCGGAACCCCTTCTCGGCCTCTTCTACCTATAAGAACAATAAAAACCATATCAATTATTATTATTTATTTATTATTAACATAGAAGTAGAAACACAAGCATAATGTGCATCTGTGCTTGAACTAGGTGATAAAACCTGTTTCTCAAGCAGCAGTGCTCCTCATACAAAGAATACAACAGCTTTACATCACAGAAACAGAAAGTTAANATGATCAACCACATAATGCAATAGTTAGCCAACCCCAAGAAACCGTGACATTTACTTGACCGAGTCCGTAAATGTCACTAAAGTATTACCAGCATAAGCTGAGAAGTTAAAAATTTAAAAAAAGAATAATAATAATAATAAGAATCTGGAAAATTAACAAAGTCTACATTGTACCACTGGTGCTATCCAGTACAGGCGTTATACCTAAACACCTACTCCAATCTTTAAAAATATTAGACACTAGCGACCCGCCCTCGCTTCGCTTCGGAAACACACACATATGAAACCAAAAAAAAAAAAAAAATTAAAAAAGTAGCCTATGTTCATCAGGGACAATGTCGGCTTCTAATGGAAAAAGAATTTTTCAAATCGGTCCAGTAGTTTCGCAGCCTATTCGAAACAAACAAACAAACAAATCTTTCCTCTTTATAATATTAGTATAGATAGCAGAGAACACGTACATGACCAAGCAAAAAGCCGCAAAATTAAACACATGCCGTATAGTCCGTCAATTCTTGCAGGAAGACTTAAATATTCTGCAAGTAGAAAATGAAGCTCACTTGGCATAGGCCCGTGATCTTCATTATACCGAAATATCTTAAGTATTTCGAGAAACACAATACAAAAATAATAATAATAAAGCCCATTTATTTCTAATCCATAATAATATCGTTATTACGTGCGATTTAATATATACTAGGGTAGAATTTCTTTAATTTTCTTTTACTCGCTATCGTTATTTTCTTCTGTACCATCGATCGGAACCCCTTCTCGGCCTCTTCTACCTATAAGGACAATAAAAACCATATCAATGCGAGTACAATATAGCATTACATAGGTATATTAAATGTATTAATCACTTCAACGTAATATGTGTAAGTACTATATAAATAATGTTATTTACATCTGTTAATGATAAAGCAAAGCATCATTGTAATATGTTAACACAAATAAATATTACTAATGACGATAAGACCTTTTGAGACGTCTCATATCGGTGGCGCGTTTACGTTGTTATTTTTACGGGATGTGACCACTGCTTAACACCAGATGCGCTATGAACACGTACAGGTACCGATAAAACACATACGACGTGATATGAGTTGAAAGATTTTATAAAAACATTTTGAAGTGAAAACTTCTTTAGAATCGTTGTGATTTCAAACCGGATGCAACGGAAAAAACGACAGGTAAGAGACACAAATACAAAGAATGAGACAGAAATATACATACTATTTAATACAGCGCCATCTGTGAGATTTTTTAATACTAACGTGTGTATGAAAGCTCTTGTAGTGAATTTTAATTTAGGATTATACGTGAAATTAAAATATCAATTCACAGAGGGCGCTACCTTACAATTATTTACTAATGACAAAATTTTACATATACTTAAGACGTTTAGGATAATTGTATTTTAACTTTGGAAGGTTTCACCTCTACCACGTGTGAATTGCACACATTTTTTCTTTTTTATTTTTCTTTTACGTTTTGTTAAGTTCCTCATGTGCCAGTAACCACATAAATGAGTATTGAATTTCCCAATACATTAGTCAGCACCAATACGTTTCGTCTTTCCTGTTTCATTATGAAGTCTTGTTTTTTAGAAGTTCTACACACGATTGATATAATTATATGTAGTTTAAAAAAAACCCGAGTGACGTATTGTACAAGGTATCTACTAAATAAAACAAATAGAATGAAATAAGATTCTAATGTCCTACACGATACTATGACATTTCGATCTTCAAAAACTCTTTATTGAGAGAATCTGTTTGATTTTAACATCCAGGAACGACACGTGTTCATTTACCATCGACTGGGAAAATAAATTTTAGAAATCTTATCATAAGATATCTAATTTTAAAAATTGAAATTAAACTGCTTCTTTAAGGATCTCCATAAAAAAATCCATGTTCATCGCCTAAGCAACGCGATCTGTCGTATTTATCACCCAATAAAAAGTGAGAGAAATTAATTTTTATGTTTCCAGAAACATTCAGACTGATTCATACAAGCGAAGCGAGACTAAGCGTGTCGGGACCACTGTTTAATCTCCTGTCTATGTTCGAATAATATTGTCTGGCCGCGAAAAGACTGCGATCTATCTAACACCAAATNAAAGAATGAGACAGAAATATACATACTATTTAATACAGCGCCATCTGTGAGATTTTTTAATACTAACGTGTGTATGAAAGCTCTTGTAGTGAATTTTAATTTAGGATTATACGTGAAATTAAAATATCAATTCACAGAGGG